TGCATCGCCCCAGGGAAAGGCTGACCTGCTTCCCCCCTCTCTCCAGGCACCTGCCTGCCCTCCTCCACACAACACCTCAGCCTCGTAGCCCTCACAATACCAGAGCGACACTGTAGCTTGGGAGCTGCCACTTCTGCCTTCCACCCCTTTCCGCAGAGCCCCCTTCTTTTCCCCGCTTGCTTTGCAGGCCGTTAGCAGAGATGCACGACACCTGCAGCAAACGGCTCCTCTCCTCAGCCCACCTGGCCTCCCCTTCCACGTGTAAGTGCCAAACGTGCTCTGGTCACCGCCGCTCAACAGCCAAGGTGCCCTGCTACGCCCCAGCAGGAAAGGAAGAAAGTGAAACGGCCTGCGCCGCTTAGAGACGGCGAGGACGGCATCAGTCGATCCTGCCCCAGCCAGTTTCAAGGAAGGGGACGAGGCTGCAGGCTCCCCTCTGCGGAGGCAGCTGGCTGCTTTTAGGTCCGAACGTGTTTTGCGATGGCAGCGGGAGTGAGATCATCCCTTTGACAAGAGAAAGGAAGAAGTTCATTTTCTTTCACCATGGAGATTATTTTCAGTTTCCAAGTGTGCTTTTTTAGCAGTTAAGGAGTTACCCAGAAGGCAGGACTAATGATTTATCTGTTCTCCTCTTTGCAACGTGAATACATACGATCTGACAATTGTGTAACAGCACTTCAATTTGCCGTTTGATTTACTGATTCCATATGGGTATCTTTTACGTTTCATGGTCCTTTTTCTTCAGGCAAAAGCCAGAAAGCTGCTTGGCTTACATGGAAAGCTTGTTTGTCTGAAAAAGCAACTGTTTGCTAACAAATGGCTCATCACAAGGACAGATACACCCCGAAGTTAGTACGATGAGGCTTGTCGGTGATAATCCCGCGCGGTTTGCTGCTGCCTCACAACGTGAGGAAGCGAACGTGGGGCGACGGGCAAGCGTAGCACTGGGACAGGTCGCGCCTGGCAGGCGGCGCGCGGGGCTGGGCGCAGCGCCGTCCCACAGCAGGCGCTCTGACAGCCGGCCAGGCTCGCTTTCGAGTGACGTGTGGCATGAGCCTTAAGCTTCACATTTCTGGACACCTTCTAACTGCTTCCTTCATGTTATTTTATAGTTTCCGTTCAGTGATTTGAATTTTCCGTCACATGCTTTGGCGCTTAAAATAATTTGTAAAAGGCTGAATATTTCTGATGAAAATGCTCTGTGTGTATGATCCTTTTAATCTTCCTGTTTATTTTATTTTCCATTCTTAATAGCAAATGTTTAATCACTTTTAGGATCACAGACTACAAAAATGTTTTTTAGAGCAGAGACTCTTCCTAAGTCCCAGATTCTTACAACTCCATGGGCTATATCTATTTGCATTAAAGGACAGACTGAGAACTTTTTGTTCCTTTCATTCCACTTACGAAGACAATTTGGAAGTTACATGCTTAGAGAACTGGGAACAAAACACTCCCTTATAGGAACTGTTTTTTAACCGGGATACCATAAAAATTAGCGTAGCTGACAAAACAGAAAGTGACTTTGCTGAGCCACATACAGTGTCTTTGAATCTCATCAGCTTTCTCTGCTTGACACTCATCGTTCTGATTTTTAAAATTCTGGTTTAATTTTTTGTAGGTACAGAATGTTCTTTACTGGAACTGTCATAGACAGTTTACAAGCAGCAAGAAGTAACAGCAGAGTGAAAAAGAGACTCCACCCAAACATTTTTTAACCAATTCTTCAGATATACATGCCAAAATGATTGGATGGAAAAAGATTTTTTCATTTAAAAAAGTGCAAGAGTAACAGTTCTGTGCTGCTTTTCCCAACTACCTGTAAATCAATTCCTTTTTATATTGTTTCTAAACAAAGTAAAATGGCAATACTACACAGAACAGAAACTAGACAAGCGAGACTGCCTGCACAGCAGGCCTGAAGTCATCTACCTCTCAGTAGATGCTACGTCCTCTACGCGCTGCGGAGTCCCTTATGGCCTCTAGCAAATGAGTATCTATAAAAATGTAATTTAAGCTGTAACCTTGCCTGGGTAGGTGAAGTGATGTAATTTGATCTTTCTTATGCAAAGAATCCCAATGGTATTGTTGCTCATAGGTTCACAAGGCCTGCTCTAGCGTGGAAGACCTGGGAGCACAGTGTAAAAACGAAGCTGCAAACAGACTTCCAGCCTCATAAATATCTGCTTTACAATTACAAAAGGACAACTATGAAAATGTATCAAAATATTGGCTCCTTTTCCTTTCATATTGTCTTGGAGGGAATGCTGCTATGTATTTAATTCTGTTTACAACAGAAAAGATCGGGACTGTTTTTCTTGAAAGTGGCACTTGGAGGTATTTTTTTTTAAACTCTCCAAAATGTTTATAGTATGCACAAATGCCTGACAGAAACAAATGCTTACAGCATTGATGCTTACTTTGCAATACGGTAAGATTCTTACTTCATGTCTAAAAATATTCATGCAAATATCATACCACAATTTGTTGGCTACTAATTGCATTCTAAAATTAAATCCTCACGTAAGACATAGATCATGCTTTTGCACCGTATTTCAGTCCAAATATAAATCTTAAAGATAAAGGTGAAGAACAGCTCTAGTATCTTCATGCTGAGAGTCAGTGCGAGATAGTTCAGTTCCAAAGAGAAAAAAAATTGTCTTAATGCAGAAACTGAAATATGGTTGTTATGAAGCAATAAATCTATTGCCCCTCTGTGAGTTATAACTCATAAGCAACCTGCAAGCTTATGATCACATCTTATAAATATTCTTTCCTCTACTGAAGGAAACCTGACATTAAAAAATCATCATTAAACATTTTAATTCTTTTCTGAGGCAACTTTCTTTTTGTGAGTGAACCACCAAAACCTTTGAACAACTCATGGAGAGCTCCCCCAGAGTGCCCATAAAGAATTTTTTTTATTTTTTACATGAAATGCAAGAAACAAAGCAATAACTAGGATAGTAATCATCCAAATCCTTGTCCTGCCACTACATACATGGGCCAACTATCTGCTCTAGCAGAGTAAGACCCTTCAGTAGTGACAACACATCTCAGTCGTGCTCACGCGTCTCCAGTACGCTTGCAACAAGGGTACAACAGAGAGAGCGCTCTGCTGTTCAAGTTGGAGGACCATCAGCAGACCCTTAGTCTTGACTGTGCTCAAGTCAGCTTTTGTCATGCTTGAGCGGGACTGGACTGAGGCGGTATCTTGACATGCAGCAACTAAAGGCCTGCAGGATGAGAACTTTGCACTTTAGAGTGAAAAATGGTAGCATTCAATTATGTCTAGTGACTTCTGCAACAAGCCATGACATTGAGAAAATGACGGAAGTAGGGAGAAAATGATTAAGATCACATGAAACCAAATTCTGCGTTAGCACACAATTCTCACTGAAGTTTATGGGAGAGGAGGACACAGGCTGTAAGACAATCTGATCCACTATTTTGTCAGTGTTTGTTGGTGTCTGTACTACTTCAAATAAATGAGTCACTGCATCATTTGTTAATAATTGGTATATACTTTATTTTGCACAAGAGACTAAGATGACATGACACTGTGGTTATCAAAACTGTACAACTAAGCATTTCCACAAGTCTCTGAAATACTGAACATAGCATGGAATACAAATGGGGTGTTCAGACTGGCCACAGGTACTAGCAGGCAAATTTCTCCCATTTTTGGTTTTTCATAAAAGTCTGATATTTGTTTCTTTAAGAAGTGTATTTATTTATTTAAAGCTGAGAATATGGTGTTTCGAACTGGTAGGAACATGGCAGCAAAAATCTGTTAATTCTGTGAACATCCCCATGAATGACAAACAAACAACAGGGCAGAACAGTCACCTCACAGGAAGGGGCTGCCAGCACAACCAACAGTACGGTCTTCTTGTGAAGCATGAGGTAGATATACATAACAAAGACTGGTACATACATAAGAGGAATTGTTACAAAAGGGCAGGGGGAAAGTTTACAATCATCAACATCGAGACATTTTGCAAAATCCATTTCCATGTGGAAAATGCTACAAAAATAGCCTAACACAGAAAGCTCTGACTTCTTGAAACATTAATAACGTCCAACACCAAACGCTGTAAAAGGTTAAAATTAGTGATTAGACAATCCATGACACAACAGTTCTAATTCAGAGTTTAAGTATGTTAATAATAGCTTTTACAATTAGAAGGTATCTCTTTTGAAGCCGAATCCTCCCATTCTTGCGTAAAGAGTCCCTCTGGAGTCAATTGGATTACACAGAAATTGACCACCATGAAGAGACCCAGCACCAAATAAATCCCTCCTAAGTTCTGTTTCGAAGGCCTATGCTGAGACATAAATAGGACGTAAACGTCTTGCTGGTTTTCCACACCAGGTAGATACTGCCCCATGAAAGTAAGCGTGGCAAGATCAGGTTTGGCAGACTTGAGAACTGGTGGCTTTGCCACACCAAATAAAGAAACTTGCCGTAGATATGAATGGCTGTTACAAAAGCAGACCTTACCAATGTATCAGTACTCTAAATGGCAGACGGACAGCTCAATAGCTGCTGTTAATAGCTTTATTACAAAAATGTAGAGTACTTAACTGGGAACGCCCGGTTTTAGTTCTCTCTATTTAAGCAGAAATGGTTGTCCTATCTGCTACATAATTACACATGTTTTTGGCAACCTCCAATAGCCAATTAATTCAAATTGATTAAAATTTCTGAATTAAACAGCTGAGTACACCAAGTTTAGTTAAACTATTTCAAATACAAGCCAATAAAACTGAATCTTTGCTCTTTATATATTTTTGGTTTATCCAACAGTAAATATAAATCTGTAAATTATTTTAAAATTAGAGTAATTTTTTTTATAAAAACACTGATAATGCAGCATGTTTCTCTCAAAAATATACAATTAGCTATTTTACATAAAAATTTTAAATCTGACCATCTCAACAACAGAATCTAATACTTCCTATGAGAAACTACTTAATAAAATATCTGAGAAAGGAAAGGGTTAAAACAGGGAAAAGAATTTACAAAATATGTAAATTTCACAGTAACTGAAATTAAACATTTCATATAGAGTAACTTACATTTGTCTAAAACATTTAAATATATCTTTATACACAAATTTAATGTAGTAAAATATAGCTATGATTGAATTTAAAGATCTAGTCTTCTTTGAAGACATCTTTAAAGATTTTACACATAGAATATGCTTATACAATACATTCTGCTGAAGGTTAGGCAAAGCGCTTTCTTTTCAACCACGCAGGTAGCATGTTCATTCTCCTGACACCTCATAATGGAACCAATTCTGTAGAGTTTTATGCATGAGGATAACTATACCTATGAGACAGTTTCTGTTGATGTTAACAGGCCTATTCCATGGGCCTGGTACCATAAAACACTTTTCGTTTGCTTAACTCTACACACTGAGTATCTCCATTGACTCAGAGGAGGCTACTCATGGTATGTAGAGTTGAGCGTGTGCTTGCACCACCAAGAATAATGCATGCACAGCTACTCATATGCATACACAATTGCAGGATTACTACCAAATTTGATTTAAAATGAGTAATATTCTTCTATCTGATCCTAGGCGTTTAGATATAGTGCATATCTTGCACTTTGACCATCCTGGCATCAGCAAGGCACGAGTGTACATTCAGCAACAGAATCTGCAGCTCAGACTTCAGAGCAGACTATCACTCTAGTGTAATGAATCCCCTTCTCCTCTTGCAGAAGGCAAGTGACCTTTACTGAAATTAATGGAAGTTACTCATCTCATTTTGAAAGGAAAACGATATTAATTTTCCTTAAAGGAGAAGGATCAGTAGAACACATTACAAATGCAAGTGGCAACATGAAAAGTTAAAGAATTACACATTCAAAAATATCTTTTTTCTTTTCATTTGGCATCTACTTGAAGGCCAAGATATGGCAATGACACTGAAAAAAAATACTGTGACAGTTAGTACCTTTCTGTCAGTTCCACATTCCAACACTGCTTTGAGACTAGCTGACTGTAATGTTCATACAACAGTTTGACACAAACAACTGCACAATTATCTTACTAGAATAGCTTCATTTTTATAGGCAGTAGTTTATACAAACAACAAGCTCCGCTGTACATTCTTTGTGCCCTTGAAACTATCTCTTAATTCAAAGGGAATTTGGGGGAGCTAAAGGATTAGAAACGTGACCTATTCCATTTTCATCTCATCTGTCTACCTAACTATTAACTGAACAGTCAGTTTTTGTGTGTACATATCCACCTATATATTTCATATAACTATGCACATACATATGTGCGTGTATACATATACACACACGCGTGCACACACAACATATATGTGTGCATGTATGTATATACAATCACATGTAATGTTTGAAAGGAACGCTGGACTAATTTCCCAACTGTTACAGTAGGTGTGTTACGTTCTGTATATATAGATGTGTATTAAACACACATCTACCTGCATAAAGACATTGCCATTACATGTACACACACATCTATATTAGTGCACAAGAACATTTCTGTCTGAATTAATGTTTGTGTGTGTCTGCATTTGATATAGTAAGTCAAAAAAATCTCTTATCAAAGAGCTTCGGCCCAGAGAACAAGAAAGGGAACATTAGAGTGTGCTCTAATCCAATTACCAAGTCAATGCATATTAAAACAAAAATACCTGGAACAAACCTGAAGCCGCAAACACAACAGGAAAGCAGACAAGATGCTGCAGCAGTAAGCTTAACAAAACAAAGGTTATTCAAAAGTGGCTAAACATAGCTGAAGTAATAAAATGTTATTAACCAAACAGATCTGACCTTGAGACTTTCTTGCTTAGACAAATAGAAAACCTTTGACCTAAGATCTTCTTTGTTCTGCTTATCTTGTTGAATTCCCTTCACAAATATCTTATATCAATGAGAAGGTTTAGGGGGAAAAAAAAGTCATGTATAGATAAAGCAGCATTTTTCCAAACTGGCATAGATTTCACATTGAGGGCCCACAGACCCCTTGAACAGACTGCAGTACTGTAAAATTAGTAGCCTTGTCACATATAGCATAATATGCTACAGACGATCCGAAAGGCTGTATTTACCCACACATCGTGTGCACACATACACACTCACACACACAGTGGCTTCCCCAAAAGAAAATCAGTTCTTTTTGTGTTCCTGTAGAAAAATCCCTCCTCATTTTTTCAAAAGAAACTAAATTCATTCTTTTAACATTAGAAAGCTGATGTCAACAAACAGTCCCTTGAACCTCTGCTCTCCCAAGCTGCTCCTTAGCTTTGCTCTCCCCAGCGTTAGGTTGTGCTGCTGCTGGAACAGGGGGTGCTTTGTGTGCTGCCAATGCTGTGTGCTGCACTGCTGTTTTCAGAGGCTGCTGGGGATGTGGGGACCTGCTGTCTTCCGGCCGTTTCCCCTGAGGGAAAGGGAGAGAAGAAGGGGCGGGGAGAAAGGGATGTTAGATGTCACAGAAAATATTAATCCATTCCTTCCCGCTCTTTGTCTTTTGATGGCTTTTATTTCCATAAAACTCATGTCTTGGGTGACAGATCTCAAACAGAATACTGTTAGAAATTTTACTAGACTTTGTCACCTTAGTGTTGCTATGCACCGGGGGAAAACAATACTGTTTGCCTAATCATTTTAAAAGCACCTCTCAGAGTGTCAAGGTAGATGCTGTCCATCTTCTGTTGTCAGCAGTTCCTCACATGGGTCCTGCTATATGACTTGGATCATTTTATCACTTTTTGTTTCACGGAGAGAGGCCAACAAAATGTAGACTTTTGTTTTAGTATCAGTTCATGGAGCAGCACGTTTACTAAAACTGAGAGGCTGGAGCTGAAGACAGAGTTCTTCAATCAGCTGGATTCCACATCTCCTGAGACATGAGCAGTTTTCTTAGCGCAGAAAAACTACAGGCTATCCTGGACTTCATTTACTCTGAACATAGCATGTAGGAAGCTCCCCTGTAGTACCGCAGCACGTGTAGCGTTTATAGCCTATAGTAAGAACAATTCTCACCATTTCTTGTTAATTGTTTACTGACAAGCCCTTTGTTATTTGGATTTCCAAATCAAACACTCGGAAGTTTAAAAAGCCAGATTTATGACCTCTGCTAAAACCTAGTTGTTGTCCGCTCTCTTCACATACCTTCTAAATATGCGCCTAGGCTACTATGGAAAAACTTAGCTCTTACTGGTATGTAAGCAAAGACCTCATCATGATACGTATGCCCAAAAGATCATACTGAGGCCATGTAGGAAGCCGTAAATGTGGCATTTTGGCAAGTTTCAGTGCTCAAATCTGCAACCTTAATAACATTTTAAGATAGCCTCTTTAAAACAGAAGGACAAAACCAAGTTTACATAGCGTGCACCGTAGCTGTTCCTTCCCTTTAGATCATCACCAGGATATGAACCTGTGAACTCAGCACTGTAACACAGTGAGAGACTGCTGCTATCGGACCTACAGGACTAACTATGGCAGAGAGCAGCAACCCAGCTGCTTTCCCAGCAAAGGAACAAGGAGAAAATATTTTGCTAGATCATGGTCAGGAACGATTGAGAAAAATCAAAGGCTGGGAGACCACCTGTCTTATGAGTTGAGGAGGCTATGTATCTCCTGCTTCACATGTTGCTCTAGGTTATCTGAGACCTGACACCACGAGCCAAGTCTCTGAGAGCAGCCAAAGAAAGATACAGCCCCACTTTTCTTCCTTACTCAGGATTTGGTAAAGCTTCTCTTCAAGAGCATTCGCTCCAGTGACAGGCGGACTGCTGGATGCACACACGGCACCCAGAGGGTTGCACGGCGGGGACCGGTCGTTTCTTCCCGCAGGAGCTGCTCTGGCGCACCCGTGCCCTGCGCGCCGCTGCTGCCGCCGGGGAGCACGGAGCATTCCCGAGACCTCCTCTGGAATGCGAGTCACGGGGAGGAAGCGTGGATTTAACGCTTTGTATCTCGGGCCAAAGTCAACGGACTTTCACAGGATAAAGAAAAGGTACTTCTGCAGGCTGCTAAGTATTCAGAGGTCTGCTATAAACAAGGGAGGTCTGAGGATTTCTCCCAGCAGAGGTTGCAAGTGTTGCTGGTAATGGAAACTGCCAGGTTCACTGCTGGCTCATGCTGCAATCACAGCTGTGAGCACATGTAAGGCCCCACAGTTCATAGCTTTCACCTTACACCCCACTGCTTTAGGAATGGGCAGGAAAGAAGGGATGGGACAGGACAGAAGAAACCCAAACTAAAACACTCATCACCAGGAGGCCAATGAGATGTTTAAAGAGAAGGTCGGAATCTGGCTCTTGAATTCAGCACTAAGTCCAGCATTTTACTTTTGCGAGCAATTCTGATTATATTTTCCACAGTACAAGAAATAACTGCATAGATAATCAATGAATTGCAGATTTCTACTTACATTTAACAGGTCAGAATCTAGCCCCATTTGTCTACAAATAAATGTGTTTAACCTCTAACTTTCATTGGAAACAGCTTTGTATCTCATCAGAATAAGCTGCATCAAAACAATGTCTTGTGTTACCATACTGTAAAAGCTTTCATAAACCTAGTCGGGATATTTTCCCCTCCTAACTTGCTCCCCTGTCCACCAGCTGTCTGTGTACAGCAGGTCTCTCTTCCTTTTGCACTGAACAATAGACAGTGACCAGCAACCTCCCTTTCAGTAAAGCAAAATAAGCAAATAAACAAACAGCAAAAACCAGCAAACAACAGAGAACTGCTAACCCCTACCCCCAGCAACATTAGAAAAAGCTGCTAGCATTCGAACACAGGAACTGCAGTTGCTGGCGTTCCCTCGGCAGGGCCCCTCAGCAGCCCTGCCAAGAGAACAGTTCTGCAAAACGTAGCACTGGCCCCTATTCCCTGCTGCTAGCTCTTATTACAGTTTAACTGTCACCCATTTTACAAACCACATGATTACACATAGCTTTGCGTCAGCCACAGCATATCAATACAATCTGCATATATTTAACCATAAATTCATTTATAAGCTAAACACATGTTTTTTCTTTAAGGAAAAGTGACAAGCACAGCAACAGCATCTCTGCGCAAGCCAAAGGGCCCTGTCCACTTCTCTCAGCTCTCCCTGCCAAGTGTCTTCGGAGGTATCTTCCCTTCAGTTTGGGGCGACAGCCCCTTCCTCTCAGTGGCAACCCTCTGACGTAATTCAATTTCCTCTCCCGTGCCTCATTTCTAGAATATTATCAACATTTCTGATATACCACAGTCAGCGTGTGGAACAAAGATAAGTTTTCACTGTACTCAACAAAAGAATCCAAATCACAGTGAAATTATGAACACAGTCTAGCAACTATATTGGACTGGATGATTTTTACTACATCTTATTTCCTTATCTCCTACCTAATCTGCAAAAAAACCCCTTTTTTTAAAAGAATATCCATGAAAAGTACTTAAAGAAACGTGGAGCAAATGATAGCTAACGAAGCACCCCCCCATCTGCTTTCTTTGAGTAAACAAACTTCATGTAGCTAACGTTTCTGAACTAGAACTACTCAAAATGGACATGTCTCATCTATTGACTGTAAACAAGCTTTTACCCATCTGAATGCGACAACATGCACTTTATTATTCACACTTAGGAAAGCTGCCAGTTGTACTCCCTGTCCAGGAAGTCTGAATGTTTGCTTTTCTATCTCCATTTGCCAAATATAATTGGTTGCTATGTCAGTTTATTTTAAATCAGATCCCATAAAAAGGAGAAGTGGGGGAGGAGGGATGCTTTTAACTTCTCAAATTTTGGAACATTTTATCCTGTTAACTTGCAACACTGTCTGAAGAAGAAAAGCACTCTTTCTAAGAGAAAGAGGTGACTGAATCTGTGCAACACAGTGCTCAGCTTATGTGGTGGGGGTAGGTTTACTTGCTAACTAATTAGACTGTGCATGTCCTTTCCTAAACATAGTCAATTGTTCCCATTAAGAAAGACATTGCATTCATAGATATTTACATGGTTAAATTCTGAAGGGTTTCCCCACTCCACGTAAACTGCAAAAGTTTTGCTTCGTCTCAAGAGACTGAGGTAAATTGGGTTCATTGTAGCACATCTCCCCTATTTTCCCTTTGTTCTTGGATCCTCTCCAGATAGAAATAACACTGCTGTGGAAAGCTTTCAGTCATCTTTCAAGTCCTTTAACCAACTGGAGAAAGAATTTAAAACACAGAGTCCTGTGGCAGACTAAGTCCTGTAGCTTAAAATTCCTCTTAGTTCCCATAATCATAGCTTCCTCCCTCTCTTCCCCTACTACCTGCGTATCGCAGGACACCTGTGCTCCATGTTGAACTGCTTCAGCGATTCTAGAGTATTTTACAGTAGAATGTTGGTGTTTTACCACAAAACCCCCGATTGTTTTCCTTATTAAATTCAGCAAAAGCCTTACATTTTGAGATGAAATTCTACTTTGTAGTTCTCTGCTATCAGTTGCCTGAGGCTTTCATGTTAACAACCTATTAAGATGAACAAAGGAGTTCATTCATGTAAAGCTTCCTCCATGCCAGAATCAGTCTGCCAAGAGAGGCATACTGATAAAAGTGTATCGGCAAACCTTCTTACTACTGGCAAAAATGGTGTTCTTTTGCTGTATTGCTTATAGAGCTACACCAGCAAAAATACCTTACTTCACATCCCAAGATGACACTGTCCACCAGGAACAGTTTTGCCCATGCTCAGAGGCAGCATTTCAGGCTTCCTGCAAACTCTTAGCATCACCAAAGCACAAATTTAGAATAAATTCACATTTTCCAATTTTTATTCTAAATCATGGGTTAGAGACCCAGTGTTATTTACAACAAAAGTCAAGATTTCAAACAACAATGATTCAACACAGGATGAATTCCCTAACTGCAAAAGACAGCCACTCTGTGCATGATGTTTAGATTAGCTATTATTTTGCTTTTTCTCCTTATTTAAAAAAAAATCTTCAGCTGACTCTGAAATGATTTCACCGCAGCTGGATTATCCTGTCTGCCACAGCAGTTGTCCTCTAAGACACTGTCCCTGCCAGAGCCTTCACTGCACTCTGCGGCAGGTTCCAGCTTTTTCATACAAGTTATTAGGCATGGAAAAATTATGTGCACAGGAACATAGGCTCACTTTGAGAATCCTTCGAAAATCTGACCCAGATAATTTCCCAGATAACTTTGTTATCTCATTTCTGTGATTCCCTGATCTGATGAGTTAGTGTTCCCTTCCTTTCTTCTCTTCCCGCTTACTACTACTTTTTCTCTGGCCTTGTTCTTCCTGTATTTTCATCTCTCAAACACAAAGGCAGAGGAGCTGTCCTTTTCACTATTTGTACATGGTAACTATGACTGGTGTAGTTTGTTGCTGTAATTCTTACAGTGGGATCGGTCCAAGCCCCATTGTGGTTGAAGGATTTATTATGCCAGCTTCCCAGTTTTCTCTTATTAATGCATTTCTTGCCTATATGTCATGCTGCAGTACTATAAAAAGTTTCATACAGTTGATATTTGACATACAACATGTGTCTTCAGATGGTTCTGTATATGAACAGATATTCCACATCCACAAACACAGGACCAAACATTAATTTAATTTTTAATTTTTTTTGTTAATGAAGGCCACCTATTTGGAAATTACCTTCTCAATTTACACATTTACCCATTAAAATAGCACCTATACTTCTGTAATGTCTCAATAGTATGTGAGGTAGAAATATACTATTCATGCATATTATCACAACCTTTAAAGTTTCCATATTTGCCTTTGAATTCCAAACAAGCTTCATGCACAGCTGATGCATTCAGAAGTATTAAACTGCTTATACAAAACTGTACGGTCAAATGGAAAAAAAAAGCAGATTTGTTTTTTCCAAATTAACATAAGCTCCCGGGTCATAATATTTACAGAAGCTCTGACTGGACAGGGCTAGATTCAGACTCCTACACAGCTTCCATGAGGTTATGGAGGCTGAGAAAAATCTGCAGTGGGCTAGGGAGAATCCCAGGGCCCTGGAGCTGTACAGGTTTGGAGCAAATGACCTCATGTTCTCCTCACCTCCCAAAGACCTCACAGGGTCCTGCGAGGTCAGACGTGGAAGCAGCTGAGAGTCTGGCATGCTGTAGGGACGCTGAGATACACAGGCAGCAAATCAAGGCCCCATCAGTGCCCAGTTTCAGGACTTACCATACTGCAAATTACATCCAACAGAAAGCTGCCTAATGCAACAAAAAGCTGCCTAAACTCCCTCTTCTTCCTAGAGCATTGTATTTCTGCTAACCTAGCTTACTATGGAAGACAATTCTGAGAAAAAAGTTACTGAAAAATCGTCTATGCATAAAGGTTGCATTAACAAAGGCTTTTTTTTTTTTTTTTTTTTAAACCAATGCAAATTCCTGCTCGGACATAATTAAATGAGATTATACACAATTTCTATCAATTTAGTGTAACTGTTAAAGAATGGAAAAATGAATAATCAAACTGGGGCATAATGTCTGTGTAATCAATGCCTATGAAACATTTTCAAGTGTAGTTATACCCAGAAAATGTCTGCATAAATAAGGCATCCTCTTAGCCATTTGGCCTATTCCTTGTACTTATCCACATTCACATATCACATCAACCTAGTTTAGTAACTTAAAAAAATCTGTGAACCAAAAGGGATCCATTAACTCAATTGTTAACTAAATTCCAAATACAGATATGTTACGGATGATAATGCACAAGGCAGAAATACCGAGTTTTACTCTCAGATCCCAAGTGATATTGCAAGGCTACTATTTAATATTCTTTTAGCAATTGTAAAACCATGTTCATAAGGCATAATAGGTCCCTTTAGGGAAGGGGTGGATATGAATTTGCTGATACATACCATCAGGCTCAAGTGAAGAGTCACTGGAAAACACCCTAATAAGAACAGAGAGCAAGAAAAGAGGGCAGGATTGCGATTGCTGACCTCCCTCCCTTTTCCTCCCTCCTTGTAAGGATTCAGACCACTCTGCATCCCCTGCGGCACGATCTGCAATGCGGTTTGTGAGAGCCCTTATACTCACCCGTGTGAGAGTAGATAAACCACAGCGCCCCTGTTAGCAGTGCTCCAATTACAAACGCTGCAAAGGCAATGCCCACCACAGTCAGGGTGTCCAGACCATAGAACACAGCTGCAAAGTTAAACATACACGATAAGGAAGGGCTTCACATTCTCAGTGACAAATAGTGTTTTACAAAAATTCATCTTTATGCTTTCATGGAAAAGTTTTAAAAAAATTCATAGTTAATTAGGAACCATTTTAAAGAATCGATTAGTAGATTTGCATGAAGGAAACAAAAGTGATGCTTTCAGGGAACACTAGGAAGTGTTCCTCATCGCAAAGCAAAACCCCAGCTCAGCGCACCAAAATCCTGAAAACACTGCAGAAATTAAGCATTTTCAGTTGGCTGTTAATAACTAGATTTCAATTAAATAACCATTTAACTTAAAAATGTACTTTAAAAAGCTTGAGATTTTTGGCAAATACGCTTTTTATTTACATGCCCTGACATTCCAGCAAACTTTCCCCTACATCTCCTGCAACTGCAGTTTGAAATGTAGGTGGAGAACGGAACTGCTATTGAGAGAGAAGTGATGCCAGCAAAAAAAAAAAAGTCAGCGAAAACATAAATAGCAACAATTGTTTTTCACATTTGGCAATGCTTTCATTAACTGAAATTAATTCCAGAACACAAAAATAGAACCACACACACAAAATCACTTTCTAGGGGAGAGGCCCTTTTACAGTACCATTTGAATGGTAACAGCATCTGCTTTCTGGATGTATCGTGCTGAACGTTAACTGTCCAAACAGAGAAACTTCTGGCTTTTGTTTTTCTTTTTGCTGATTAGAAACATTCCAAATCACTCCTTCATCAACCATTTGGGGAAATTTTTTCTTACAAAATTGATTTCTAGATTCAGTATTTTCAATGTCTCCCAGTACACAAAATGGCTTAGGCCAGTGAATAACATTTCACTGACTAAGCTGGCCAGGAAATGAGCTGACTGGATCTTCTCAGTAGTATCCTTCAGCGCAATTTCAGATCTCAAAACATAACCAGCACCCTCACTATACAAATAACTACAAACCTTCCTGCATCCAACAGATATGCCTCAGGATAGCACACAGCCTAACAGCTCCCGAGATCGGCCTAACAGCTCCCGAGGGTAATTCATTTTGTGACAAACGTATTCTCTAGCAGTCCCTGTTGACGAGGTCCTTCAGGACCCACTTCTGGGTGCCTACAACCAAATTTGCACGGAGATGGAGAAACCCCGCCATATAATGGCTTAGATGTTTTTTCTCCCGTTTCTTACATGGAACTATTTCTGATTCCTTTGGTCACATGTGGTCATTTTAAAGGCAAAAGCTAAAAGGACCTCCTAAACTCATTTGTTTTTTCCACAAGGCACCAGCCCAGTGACCTCTCCTCTCTTAGGAGAGCTCTGCTGGTGAGCAGAAAGTCACATGGAGGCTGAAATGGCAGAAGCGTAATTTCTTATTCCCTTTGCTATTTTGGGTGAATTTAGATCCCAGCCCCAAAGATATAGGGAGAGGGGTGGAAGAAACCACCTTCCTTGCATTCCCTTTCTAATTTCCCCTTTTCTCCATTCACTATTGTTTTTTAACTACAAATCTTCCTTCCCTTCCTGTTTATTATTGCCTTTAGTGCCGCTTCTTTCCCTCTCTCCCCCACAAAATCAACTCGTGCTCTTAACCAAGGTAGAGATTTTCAGCCCGGCAGAGGGGTTCCACGTATCTTTCTCTCTGCAGCCATATCAGGTGCAGGAGCAGAAGCAGCGCCAAACCCACAGTCATCCAGCACCCCAATGCAGGGGCTGCACTACAAACAACGGCAGTAACTGACCTTGGTTAAAAATAAAATTCACTATGCCAAAAAAACAGAAAATAAAAATAAATTAATCCAAATCAATTCAGAGATCTCATCTATAGCATGACCCACAAGTGTTGGTGCCAGACAGATGATGTGGCCAAGTGCATCGCAGGGCAGGAACAAGGCTTGGGGTGAGGTATGGGAGCTCCTAAAGATGGTGTTGTTTCTGAAACCCTTGTACTGGGAAGCTGTGGCCTTGGCAGACAAGGGGAAAATAACACACAACATCAGCAAATGAACTCACTTGAGGCTGAGGCTCTCAAAGCCAATATTTTATCACAGACACATTTTCCAAACGTGACTTTCACGCATACAAACGATCACAGCCTTTCTCCCTAAAAGTCAGTGGGAACCTCTCTAGCAGCAACGCAGTCAGAATTTTGCTCTAGCCTAGAACTCAACACACACTATAATCCAGAAAGCTTAAAGATAATTTTCTTCATTGAGCTAACAATTTCTAGACAAAAGTTTAACACTGAAAAGACAGGTTTAAGAACAACTTACGTGGCTGTCTCACGTTTGGCTTTGGAAGGGATGGATCTGTTTTAAAACAAAAGCATTTATCAGAGAGCGCTCCACATACAGCCTACATAGTATGCAAGCAGCCTTTAGGATCTGATCTGGCAGAAAGACATTAACTACAATTTTTACAGACCAGCAACTTCAGGAAAACCAGACCGAATTCAATAAGCTACATCAGCTTATAAAAATTCCATTTATAAATTGATTACTTTTCAGAGGAACATATATCTACAGTATAGTCCAAGCAGCATCCATTTTGCTGGCAAATTTGCAACCTTTGCAGCCCTCCCCAGCCAGCTGCCACCAGTTCTGCCCTGCCGTAACTCTGCTTCTCCGCGGGTGGAGCTCTTACACAGGTCACGAGGGCTGCCGTGAGGGGACGGCACTCGTGTGACAATCGCCAATCACCAACATGAGATACTAGCTTGCTAAATCACCAAAAGGTCAAGCAGTGACTATCACCTCCAAAGAAAAGTTGGTATTACCATAGGCTAGACACTGCTCATGTGAATCAGCACATACTCCTACAAGTCCTACGTGGTATTTTGCCTTGGTTCTTGCCCCCCCACCCCCCCTTTTTTTATAGGAAAGGAAAGATCATCGCTACGATACCAAAGCTATTATCCTTGGCTATTATATCAAATATCATCACTATTTTCTCTTTCTGTTACATGCAGATAAGTAAATGCGTTATAAAATGAAGAATTTTCCTTTTCATTGCTTTACTGGCTTCTCCTCATCTTTCTCCAAGAATTGCCACCTCAAGTCCAAGAGGCAGAGGGTCTGCTTTCAGAACCAAGGACCTGTTTGGTGAGCTGCAGTTTGCTTCTTGATTGCCCAGTAACCGAGGGATCTCATTTAAACCCTGGCATATGTGAGCACATGCAGTGCATCACCCATAGAAGGATTTGATGAGACAATGTCCCAATACCTGTTTTTGTATCTTTAGCAACTGAAAAAAATAAGTCTAATTGCTAAGTAAATATAGTAGCTTCAAAAATACTTCAAAAATACAAAGAAATGTATTACTTTTTTTTTTATTTTTTTTATTTAAAGTACTATTTTACCAAGACTACGCTTTAACTTCTGAAGCCCGAATGGCAGCACTATCCTGCCAGCAATATCCTATGAGATCGTTAGTCTCTCCAACACATGTTCCTACAACAGCCAAAAAAGCATTTCAGTCTTGAAACTGAATTACTGTCATCTAGCTCGCTCTTGGCAGGATGGTAGGAAACAGGTGAAACAGTAGCTCAAAAGAGGTGAGAACATTTAGGGGGGGTATGTGCGTGAGCGTATGCGTGAGAGCGAGTGAGCGAGAGAGAGAGCGAGCAAGCACAAGCACGCACAAATAAGCTGAAAAGTCATCAAATGCACATAACAGCAAAAGCATAACTGAATGTATGCTTTTTGTGAGGAGGGCTGTACTGAAAACCAGGGAAGTTAACAGTACAAACAGGGGTAATGGCACTACCAGATTGTCCAAACACTCCAGTGGTGTAGGTACATCATAGGTATATCCCAAGCTCGAATAAAATGCCTTCAGAGGGGAGAGGGGGAAAAATTTTCCATACTCCTTCTGTCATTGGCCTCTCTTTAGAAAATATAAAGTCTGCTAGACAATGAGAGGTTCTGCATCCCATTACCAACTCCCCCTAGTCATTCAGTTCTTCTATATGCTATCATGCATTTTCATGGGAGTTGCTCAGAGCAATACAGGGGTGGTGAGAAGCCTTGAGGTACAGGAAAGCATTTAATTTAAAAACATCAGCAGCAAGCTTTTAAATATTATCGTATTTTTCTATACTTTTGTAGGATAGAGGCACTTGTCAGCTGCTCCCTTGACCTCTTTTCTGTGACCTGTCTCCCTTTGCTGAAGAAAGAGTAATCTAAATTTCCATACTCAACAATAATTTGAACAAACAATGAAACTGGAAGACTATTTCAACAGAACACCACATATTTCCTAGCATTTAAGTGGCTATCTACATGCCTTCCAATGACTTTATTAAAAAAAAAAAAAAAAAGACTGAAATGCTAGAATGCAAATGGAAACTGTGTGACATGAAGGTAGGTTTAAGGTGCTTCAATTAAGCTCTACAGCAATAACGTAAGCAACTGAGCTTGTAAGTAACTAAAAATTCGTGGGGGAGGAAGAGTCATTCTCATTTAGATACATAATTTTGATTACAGTCAAGGAGAGTCACAAGCTTGTTGTTTGAAGAAAAAAAAAACCAGACACCTCTGCAGTGATCAATTTGTTCTGACTTCCAAAACGTCATGCACGTGGCTTCTTCATTGGCAGATCCAACAGCACTAACTCCAATAATATGGTTTACAACAATGGAAGCTGGCCTGTTCACATGAAAGAAAACGAAGACCACCACCTCTGCGATGGAAATCCTCTTATTCAGTAATGCAATATAATTTCTCCTCCAAATCTTATGTTCACGTATTGGCTAACAATGGCGTTTAGCTTCTAGAAAGGGGTTGTTTGATTCACTGCAGAACAACTGTATAGCAACAAAGCTACGTTGTTAATATGCCATTTTGTATTGTGTCTGAAAGCTGCGATACGCTGGGGAGTTTTCCATCAAACATCCCACAGTTAGACTAAATCACCCACAATGCAACAAAATGCTCTATCGCACTGCTGTCTTGTAACTAGTCTTTATAAATTTAGCTCGTCTTTATACACTGAGAGCTTGTGCTGCTCACAAAGACAACATTCTGAGCGAAGTCAGGGATGGGAGCCGCACACAATGCCCCACACATCAGAAGGGAAATGGAGCTCAGAGCATACGTCTGTTTATTGAGAGATGAACTTCAGTTGTAGCATTTACTCATTCCCAACAGAATAATCACTGAAAAAAGGGGGAGCTCTGCAAAAAGACAGAGCACAGAATCAGGCCCAAAGCACAGTTTTAATTGTACCACATGTACAGATCAAATACTCGCCTTTAATTCTTAGGGGATTTGAACTCTGTTAAAAAGAATTTTGCAAAAAATACAAGCTGACTTGCAGACTTAAACAGAAACAGTTGTTGCTTATGTCCCCTAGCAATGCTGCATGGTACTATAAATCGTTTGAAGACTAAAAAGCATGCACTGTACAACTGAGGTTAAAGGATTTCTGATCCCCATCCTTTGACGCTCCCTGAAAAACATTCCAAAATTTCAAAGAGCCTTTGCACACAACCAGAAGATTCTGATGTCCGAGCAAAGCCCCTGAAAGCTTCCGATTAAACTGCCATGCTCACACAAGAGGAAAAGATAATGCACGTATATTCCCTGCTTCTATGGATGCATCAAAACATATGACTGTTGCTGTTGTCGGAGGGTTTCACTAAGAAAAACTTTCAAATTAAATGAAGCTGTAGAAATAAGTTCTCATTTCCCGTCAGTCTATAAATACACATGGCATATCCTCAAGCTAGAGAGTATTGTCATAATGCCATTTTCTTCAGGGGAGCACTGCTATTTCTCACAAGTAGCAGAACTACCCTTGAAGCTCAAAAAATACACACACACACACACATATATACACACACACGTACACACACACACAGATTTAGTTGCCACTAATGTGAATTAGAGAACTACTCTAGCAGTAATGAAAATTGTTGATAAATACTGTATTGTTTTCAGCTGGGTTAATTGGCAGTTAAAAAAAGAAAGTCAAAGGCATGTTTGACTCCTGCTGGGTCAGGAAGGCTGGTTTCTGTTAGGCTGAAGTTGTCATGCAAAGATTGTATAACTAGATGTTAGAGTGAAGAAAGCACAGCTTGATTAAAATGAAAGTCTCATCTGACCCAGCAAAGGCTTGGTTTTTTGTTCTAATTGTGGCTATGCATCCAGCTAACGCAGCAGAACAGCAGATAGCTGGAGTCTTTACCTAAGAAAGGCTTTTCCGTGTCACAGGTGATCTGGGCCTCCCCCAGCTTATGTGCACAGCTTGGCAAGCGCTCTAACCTGTTCTCCCCAGTGGCAGCACCACGGCAGGCCCTCCACCGCCAAGACTTACCAGCTCCAAAGGCACCCTCAGAAAGAACACGCGGGAGCTGAAAAGTTTATAGCTACAGAACAAAGCAACCTGCCGCTGAGCTACTAAGTCCCAAGCTCAGGAGGGCTCCTCATTCTTAGTTACAGTCTTAACTTCCACAGTAGTCAGTGGAAAATTAGAAACCTAAAGAGGAATCAGAGCGCAGATACTTGGACTCTGGTCTTAGGCAGGTTGGTGATCTTGTCACAGGAACAAAGACCCTTTAAGCCAGCTGTGTCATTTTTCTAAAGCTTTCAACACATGCTGGTAACACTTCTGAGCCTTTTAAAGTCCAGGTTCTAAGGTTTCCTACTTTTGAATGGTTACAACAACAGCTAGATAAAAAAAGATTCATTAGAAACATTAGAAGAGGAAAATCTTCACTCCCTCCAAAAAAGATGTAGATAAGAAACTAGTTATCACAAATCTCTACAGAAATATATGTACTTCAAGTGCAGCTAAAGGGAAAGTTGCATAATCATATTTTCCTCACAGGTTTGCATAAAATATTAAAGCTCTTGCAAAGACAAACAAAAATCTCATGGATGAATAACTGCCCACTTGAAAAAAAAAAAAACAACAGAAACCCCTTCACACACATGGATTAGGCAGGTCAAAAGAGATCCCTATCTCAGTCTGTTTCTTCTTTTTCTTTCTATGACCTCATATCTCGTGAAATTGTTTTACTTTTCCTTTTTCATCCTTCTCTTCTTTCTCAGGGCAAGAGGGTGCGAACCCCAGACTTGGCTTGCTTGGGTGCCATCCCAGCAGCAGGAGCAGGGGATGAGACCAGCAGCAGCTGTTGGTACTGGCAGTAAAGGCAACCGCAGGCCTTAGCGCAGTGAGAGCCTGCGTACACGGGCAGCAGGTAACGTGCCTCTGTCCTCTGACCCTCACCTTCCTTCCACACAGCCTGAGAGCTTTCAAACTAAGAAATGCCCTGCACTGCCATTTTGCATCATATTTCCTTACCCTGCCTCATTATCCTCATCCACTCCCCATTTTTCCCTCAGGCCTGGACCCAGTTTCCTCTCTTCACCTTTTCTTAACCCTTCAACCCGACATAATCATTATGCCATCTGGCCCACGGTTTGCTTGCTCACACACGCTTTCTCCATAGCGCTAAGGTTAGATTTACACAAATGCAAGCGGTGCCATGGGACATGCAGCAGCACTGTTTGGGGAGCCCTGTGCTAGACCAAAAGGATTCATGTTGCAAAAACAAATCATTTGAAGGGATCTAGGTGGACGGTCACTCGTACATTGATCCCCTTTGCATCCTGCTTTCCAGAAAGCTTCTGTTCAGACTTTATGCATGGAAGAGACAGCAAAAGAGAGCTGTCAGACAGAGGTCACTGCCCTACAACACTCAGGAACACCTACAGATTTCTACAAAGCCACTCTCGGACTTTTTCTTGAAGACTACATAGCCAAACAAGCCCCACCAATGTGGAGCTAAAATACCTTTACACATCTCATCTTTTTTTCTTAACGGTCTAATAATCTAATGAGTTTCTTTCTGATGGCCATCGTTTGCTTTACAAACTTATTGGGCTTTAGTGCTCTCAATGCTTTTTAATTCTATTGTTGTTATTCCTACATATATATCTACCACCACAAAAAGAAATGATACAGCAGGAAGTAGAGCACTGCCTTTCATCTCTGACCATTAATAAATTGCCGGAGTCACTACTGCTGGATTCATATTCATCAAACCTCTATTCTTATGTAGTATATTATTTCTTTCTCAATGCCTAGGCAAAAGATTCTCACATTTCCAGAGATCAATAAAGAAGATTAAGAAAATGGCAGCTAACTACCATGATGATTATTGCCAGGGAAAAGTCTAAATAAATAACATCTTACAGATGCATTAACGTCATAGGATTATACAACTGCATATAGTTCAAACACTCTTTTTTAACCCCATTTCAATGGGCTGTATGTTACATAACACACTATCTATAGCTTTATTAAGCAATTTGAACGCATGTTCATACCTTCTGGTTTTACGTCATAAGTTATTACAGCAAGGGGCTTGGTGAAAGTTTTCTTGTTGTGCATCATGGCCAAGATCATATCCACATTAAGTGAGGTGCAAGCTTCATCAGGAGGAATGCACTGCGGGTGGGGGGGGAAAAAAAAAAAAAAAAAAAAAAAGAGCGAGTGAGGTCAGAGATTCACTCAAAATAAAATATATACGATGCCTGCAGAAGCAGCTGCACAGCTGCCTCATTATCAGTTTTACTCAATAATGCTTACTAAAGAGAGACAGGAGATTTGAATGTTATCAGAATCTCCAAATAATCCCTGTGAAATACACTGGCAAAGGCAATTCTCAGCTGTGCTTCAGGATGCAAATTTTGTCTTCATTAAGAATCCTCTAACCTTTATGAGAGTGTTACTATTGAATTTAGGTTGTAGCAATTATTTTATTTTAGGATAACAAAAAAGCCCGTCCATTTTAAAAAATCTGGTGGCCAATACTGTAGCTACTAATAAATGTGTTGATCAATAATGACAAATCGCCTTTAAAAACTACACTTTTAAGGGTTACGTGCCTAAGTTCCCAAAAGTAAAAATAAGTTCAGTAGCCTCAGAAGGCCTTCTTTAACAAAGAATTTACAGCCATTTCAACTAGTTATAAGGCAAAATTCGGCAATTTTCTTTTGTAACAATCAGATAGAAAATGTGAATTCTATTTAGATATATTAGAGCACTTCAGGACAGTAAATTTACTCTAAGAACACACAAGATGTATGGCGCTGAAAGGCAGCAAATAAGTGCCAACCTTTACTTATTTTGTTTCCAAGTTCTACTGAGACAGGTTAAACTCACAATTCCTAAAAGAAGGAACTTTGTTTCTGCTAACAGTATATGATATGAATAGCAAATAAAAATCTGAAGCACTCGCATAATGAAAAGCGATTTCGATTTATCCTATGCAACCACCTAACGAAAATTAAGTGGAAAACGTAAACTATGCAGTCAAAACGTACCATAACTCTTGCCTATTAAAATCTTGAGTCTAAAGATGCTCATTACATCAATTCAAATTAATGTAAAGTCTCAACAGAAGAACTAATACCTGAAATTGTCCACTCACTCAAAAGTTCAGATTAAAACAGGTTTTTTCACCTACATTGGAAGTTTATCAAGGAATAAATTACTGACCTTAGGCAGTCCTTGAGTATCTCTGTCTTTATTTGTACACAAAGTCAGCTCACAATGAAGAAAGAGCAGTGAGATGTTGAATATTGGTTTAAACACGAAGCTAAATCTTTTCTTGTCCTTCTGTGCATGTGGTATTGGAAAGTTCACCTTCTCAGTGCTGTAGAATTTCACAGATTCGTCTTTTGGACAAATGTTTTCTATAATGGTGTAATCAGACATTCTATCCGGATTTGAAAATGGGGAAACAAAGCATGTTTGAATGGCAAAGCCCAGGGATCTGTCAGCTTTAGTCACAGAAACCTGCATCAAAAAGAAAAAAAGCCCTAAGTCCCCAGAAATTACCTCTTTAGTTCACAGAGTTCATTAACGCTTTCAACAATTATGAAGCTGCTTTCCAGTGGCACTTCCAATGCAAACTGATTTGAAGGCTAAATGTTAAGGGCAGACTGTCAAACCGAGAGACAGAAAATCTGTGGTTTCAAAACTAGCTACTGTTTAGCAGCATAACCACGCACAAATACAGCCACCTCTTATCTTTTCAAACACATGAAAAACCCAATCCAGATCAAGAATAGTTAGTGAACGAACGCTACTACTGCCTGCAAAGTCTGGGGAAGGGGATGGCGCTGCTTCCCTTAGAAACATACAGGTTATAACAGAACTCTGCGAAAGTCGATTACTAAGTCTTTGTATCTGTTTCAAACTTTACTTCAAGGAAAAAAAAAAAAGCAACACACAACAAAAACCCACCCCCAACCAACAGAGGAATGCAGAGGCAGAGTCGAGGTCATGGTCTGATGTGTGGGTGGCATTACTGGACTAGCAGGGAGGAGGCAGACTACTAAAAAGCCATGATTTTTTGTGCAATGATCCTTTTACTTTATTACAACTCTGAAACCCATATACTTTTATTAAAAATAACTATGGCTGCAAACTTCTAGGGCACTGATGTTGTTCCGCTGAACTGAAATAGAAACTACAAATGCCCCAGAGTAATCAGGAAAAAAATTAAATGCATTTTGTAACAAATAAAGCATGCCCCTCTCCATAGACAACAGGAGCGTTGTGCCTAACCATTAACAGTGCATGACAAAAACAGTTCCACAAGAAATAGTTTTCTTCTTAGAAAAAAAAAAAGTGCCTTAAATATGTACCTAATCCAGATGTACTGCATGTATATTTAATGAAGAGTCTGCCAAATTGCCCTGTGGTCTACACAGACATTTTTGTTTGCTATGAGTTGTGTACAGAATAACGGCATTTGCCTTTTTTCCTCTGAAGTGAGCAGTAATCAAACTGAAGACAAAAAAGATGGTCTGAAGCATTTAAGCCAAGAGAGACCATCTCCCAAAAAGAACAGAAATCAAGAGTGATGAATGAAGATTAAGCCACAGATATTGACAGATACAGGCTGATGGTGTAAACTACTTAAGGAAAGGGGATTACGGCCATGAGATTATGCCCTAAGTAATTTATTGATCCAAAAAGCAGATTTTTAAAGAACAAAAGCAAAACAGAAACAAAAATACAATACATTGTTTGTATCAGTTAAAGATGGAATCACAGAAATCTAGATCTGAGACAAATTTTCCACTGTGCAAGCAGAAGAAACAGGGGAAAAAAAAAGAAAGACAAATTTGTGCCAGGACAGGTGATGAAGAAATTAGAACATCTGTCTGAATAAACAGCTCCAGAACCAGACAAATCCAGGGGGCTTGGAGCCAGAGGGATTCATCCCAGAAAGCTGAAGGAACCAGCAGTTTTTGTCCAAATGAAAAAATCATGTGTCTTTTATAAACATATTCTTAACTGATTGTGACATACTTCATTTTTGCTTCAACTTTATTAGGTACTTTTTATTACAGCATTGTGTAAAGTCTTTTAGGTAGAGAAGGGCAGGCAACTAAGTATTTATAGAATGCAAAATATACTACCATCAACTGAAACTTCCATTTGAACATTGTTTCCAAATCTACTTGCTGTGGTAAGAGTGTTAGAAATATGTAATCTCTCTAGAGAGGGCTTCACTGATGATATGGATTTCTTTTTAGCTCCGAGGATACCATATCAGCAAAGTGCCTGTGATCTCTCTTATCATCGTTTAGTTAATATTTTACGCACAAAAATGCAGAAGAAAATGAGCAACAACAAACCAAAGACTTTCATAGCCTATCTGCCATCTAAAAGCTCTGAAATGAAAACAATGATTTTTTTTTTAAAGGCAGAAGCAGAAAACGGCTCTAGTGAAAGATAGCTACAATAGGGCAGGGATTGTGGATGGGGTGGGAGGAGAAAAGGATCTGGAGCTCTGACACCCCCGTTCACACCTCTGCTTCCATCATGCAATGCATCTTGGCACTGCATATAACATTATAGAGACTCAGAGAAACTCATGCAAAAACTACTGTGCATGATGAGTTCTCAGGATGAATCTTTATGGTCGTTCTTCGTCCAGAGAAGCAGAAACCTTTTCACTGGATAGAAAATGAGAAAGAGCCATAACACACTGAAACAATGAAGAAAACTGCACTAGTGTCAAATGAGCCACTATGCTTATCACGTGCAATGCAGGCTCACAAACAGAAACTAACTTGGGCATGCGAAACATGACACAGCACTATTTGAAGGACAATATACCCATTCGCCTGGCCTTATAAAGCCACTGCCAACTACTCCTTGATTTCCCAATCCATAAACTGATGATAATACTTCATTGCCAGTGTTGTATTTATTAACGTCTACATTATTTGAAAAATGCTAAATTCTGTTCACATGACTAACTTGAGAAACACTGACTGTATTTGTTGCTATTCTCCAGATTTCATCATGTACTTCACACTGCAGCACCACATAGAAACATTACCTAGTCTAAAAGGCACTTAAAGTCAACGGTGCCTGTCTGCTGACTTGGTTGGGCTTTAGCCAAGGTCATTAGATCGCTTGTAAGATAGCACACACAAGCATTGTCACAGGCATTGGTAGGCAGACCAGAGAGACCCAAAGCTGTATTAACTTTGTAACCTGGGAACACTAGCATGTGAGAGGAAGGCACTTGTAATTGTTTCTTGCACGTCTACATCTTTCAGATGAGGTTCAGCTGTCTTTCTCAATAGAATTAATTCTTAACCTTATAAAATTAATTGTTCATCACTGAATACCAGCTCAGAGCAAAAGTTCAGAGATCACCTTAAAGTCCTGCACTGAAAAGCAAGAATGAGAGACTGACCTTGTAGTTCAATTTATCCATTCTACAGCAATCCTTTGGTTTTGCCCCAAAGCATCGTCCTGCTTATTATCCCCCAGTTTCCCTCTTCTGCAGCCACCAAAGAACATACCTGCCTGCTAAAGGCAACTGCACAGTGAGACCTTTCAGCTGATGAGCACAAACTTAGCTCAGGTTGTATGGCCTTGAAAAATGTTTCTATTAATTTGAAAGCCTCTTCCAGTTATTTACCTCTACATATATTGGCCCATTCTCAGCAACAGAGAAGAGTCCTTGGGAGGGAGCAAGGAACAGATCTGTTTTGTACAGCTCCATGTTGAAGGTCACATTGGCGAAGTGTGGTTCAGGAGGCCAGAATATGGAAGGATTAAAAAATGCTCTGTCGTTCTCCGGCTGGTGTAGCGTGCAATTAAACTGAAATCAACAGAACAATACAAATATATCCTGAGTCAGGAGTAGCAGCTGGATAGGGACAAATTTGGAGCATATAATATAGGCCCACCCACACTCCATCTACTCTGTGCAACGCTTCAATGGGGTCACAAGGAACAGAAGTGAGAAGAAAAACAGTAAAAAGCAAATTACTTTCTAAATAATTAGTTTAACTTCTATGGCATGCATATTACAACAGGCATTTCTCTATTGCCAGGTGCAAAACCAAGAGTAACATACCGCTATTTCAGGCCAGCTAGAAAAAGCAACATCTCCCTCATCGGCATCCCCTGGAAATCCATTATCACCTGATTCCATGTCGTCATCATCAAAGCCACTACTCTCAGCTGGTGATGACAGCCGAATGACAATCTGCACAAAAGGTATTGCACACACACACAAAATTAGGTGCTGAGCACTCTCTCTTCACAGTTATCATCTTCCTTCTTCAGAAAAATGCAAAGGCCTAAAGAAGTGAGTCAACTAACCAGATGGGGAAAGTATGTCTTAAACAGCCCTGTGCTGAGCAGGCAAGATTCATAGGTTATACTTACAGAACACCCTTTTTTTTTGTTTCCAGATGTCAGAACTAGCAAACCCATAAAAACGTTCCGCTCAATGCAAAGGCAGTCTAGGTACTGGCATCTAAATGAGCACTCCAGCAGTCCCATCCTATTTCTGGTATCTCTATAACCAACACTGATAAAAGAACGGCTTTCCAAAGTGCTTTTTTACACCTTATAGCTTTCGTTGATGCACTCCAGAAAAATCATTAAGTTTTAGAGTCATCAAAGGATTTTCTCTTCTGTTTTTTTTTTTTATGATATATGCCCCAAATCATCATACTCCTTTCTTTTTTCCTTTATTTTTCCCTTCTTGTTTTCCTCTGATCTCCACTGAACTCCTTTTTTTTTTTCCTCTCTTCTCTGCACACTTCTTCTTTCCATTTCTTCACCTGACATTCCCCGTTCTCTTTTTCCAGTGCTCTGCACTCTGCTTCTCTATATCCTGCAGTTCCTCAAGTGGTCTCCCCTCTTCCAAGACTTCACTTTTGTTTTCTTGAATGTAGAGCAACTGCTAAGAAGTGACATATACACTCTTTGGGACCCCTCGGTATGACTTTTATATATCAGCAATGATGCTCCCAAAATTCTGAAAGATACTATACAAGATTCTGAGTTTGAGTAACCAAGACTCTTCAAAGACCTGATGGAAAAAAGGAAAAAGAGGAGGCAAATACCAGTTTTGGTCCAGGCCATAATATAAAATAGGGACAATGACAGTATTTAGCTCCAGACATATACTATTGTGTAGATCAGGGATGTTTTAATCCAGGGCTTTGGTATGGGACTCTAAAGTCAGGTGCTACAGACTTGCCAGTAAGGAATAGTTTTAGCCAGGAGGTAAGTTTGGATCAGATTGCCTTAGCTGTGTCTGGGTTGGACGACAGACTTTCCATCGTTTGCAAAGGTTACTTCTATGTGCTGAAAAGTATAGCAAGACAAACATGTCATTGCTTCCCAATTCAGCTGAGCCACGATGTAGTCAAGTTCGTAAGCAGGGCCAGTCTGGTGGCAGTCTCTTAGAATTTCAGCGGGCTCCTTACATCATTGCATCATCCCTTACATACAAGTTCTCAGGGGCCCTTCCCCACATACATCAGCTGACAGCAAATGCGAATCCAAAATACAAAACAGAAGCATGCACAGATAATACCTTCTCCTCACCTTTTGAAAGCCTTTTTCTTCCACAATTGTAATAGAAAAAACTCATCTGAAGTAATTTAGCATATGAATTAAATGGCTCTGTGCAATCACAAATCTTTGTTTCTATTGCACCCTGCAGCTGCATAGTACCGCTGAGGTACAGATACAGCAAAGCTGCATAGGGAAAGCAGGTGCAACTTCTCTGAGAATGGTCCCTGAAGTGCAGCTATGCAGTTTTGTAAAACTGTACGACTCCATCTCCTGCTATTTTCTTCGAGATACCATCTGACCACAGGAGCACACTGAAGGTGCAGCCTTCGTACATCCTTGAATATAGGGACTGTAGCTGCAACTAGGTTTGAGCTAGACGGGAAAAGATTAGGATGCCTCCTTTTTGCTAAGACTACAGCCAAGTACAATGGCTTCCTTGTACCACTATGCTGTGCAGCAGAGAAGAAGGCTCCTCTTTGTAAAATACTCACAGAGTTAAAATAAACAATCTTGTCCAAGATATATGCTGTCCGAGTTCCACATTTGTTCGGCAAAGATTCCAAAATGAAATGGGTACCATTCATCCTGGCTTTGCAAGAGTGATCCAGCAGTGAGAGTTCTGTCCTCGTGTAGCCATTAGCCTAAAACAAAGATGCTTTGTGAGTGGCTGGAACCTCAGCTGAAGTACAGTTGTGTTAGACTCTTGCGTAAAGTGCAGCTTCGAACACTTTTTATGACTAGTGATAAGAGGAAGTGAAGTTCATTGTGCTGAGATCCAGGGAGGGTCAATCTCAAAATGCACACGACAGAGAGGGGATAAATGTAACATGGAACACAGAAAACAACAGGTTCATTATTAGTCTACTGACACAAGCTCTGCTTCATCTAAAATGAGCTAAAAAAGCTCTACTTTGTATTGGGCTCTCTTCCACAATGCAAATGGGCACAAGCAACCTTTCAGCTGGTAGACAACAAAGATGAAGACAAAAATACCACATAATGGATGACAGTGGGCCACACAGTTCCACCTTCTAGCCTTCTGTTCCTTTAGCTGCCTCTTCACCAACTTATTCGCGTCTTACACAGCTATCAAAAGCAGCTTCCTTTTACTTTAGAGATTAAAAAACCTGCACTGATGATTGAGCACAGTAGTTTTTGACAGAACCAACGCTGCAAACCTTTTATCAGAAATACCTCTACAAAATAGTGCATTGTTGGGAAGAGGGAAAATGACCCAGAACCCTGGCAAAGAGTATCTATAGCACAGTTTCCCCTTCAAAGTGATTTTTTTAGATGGCTGTAAATCTTAGAATGTTCATTTTCCAATCAAAATACATTTAAAATAGTCTATTAAAAGCTTGCTCACGTTTGAGAATAAGAGATCACACCAACCTGCAGAGAGTCTTTTTCTACAGCTACCGTCATTACTTTGTCATCACACTTTATGGATAGAGCTACATCAGCACTACCCTGAACCTCTTCAGGTTCTTTATGTTTCGGGAGGGAATGCTCAAAGTCACGGTCTATTAATGTGTCTGCTGAATCTCTGGATGGGAAGAGTCCTTCTCCCACTGTGCCATGTCTTCCTCTGTTAATGTGAAAAGGAAAAGCCAGGCCATCACTGAACGTAGGATTCTTTGGGGCAGGCAGCGGGCTAGCATCCAACAATTCTGTCAGCTCTGGAGGAAGTGAATGGACTTCTTCATCATTCATCTCTTCTATAAGCAGAAAAAAAGTGTATTAGGTTATTAGATCCTTTCCCAAAGGTATTCAGAACAGGAACATTTCCCATCTCAGAAGAATAGTATCCAGAAAGCAAGCTCTTGAAGGACATCAGAAGTGGCATCTTTGTACTTTTCGGGTAACTAGACACAATTCGTGCACTAAGGGTTTAGTTGTTTCTGGGGCATCTAATCTTGGCATATTCATTCCCTGCTACAAATCTGCCTTACTAAGAACTGAAAACCAGCTGTGAAGAGTGGGCCTCATCATACACAAAACGGCAACCACAAAGGTAAAGAAAACATCACAGCCAGTAAATGCACTATTTTAGTGCTGCTGAGATAGCCTAAGTTCAAATCATCAGCAAAATTCTTCTATTACCTGCTAGCACAAATTCAGTCAACTCCGCTATTGCGAAAGTGCTTACATAACTGGAGTGAAGTTAACATGAGAGTTAACTTCAGGCTGAGTGACTGAGAACAGTATTTATACCCTGGTTTGTATACAGTACTGCTCAGTATCGAAGTCTCAGCATCTGGCCCAAGCAGACAATTATCTGGAACCCACAAAAGCGCAACGGATAAAATGAACATGATTATAAGCTTTGTCAAAACAGCTAAACAATGTTCTCAGTGGTCCAAATTCAGAATTAGTGAAAAAACAGATGCAACACCACTGGCTTCAACGTATCAGGACATCTTTACGTCAGCAACGACTTTGGCCAAATAACAATTTTTTTTTATGGTTGTATTTATTCCATTCGCTCAGACTTTTCTGGTGAGCCAATTTTGTCTGTAAACAATTTAAATGTTTATTTAATTGAATTAAGGAAACACTATGTTCATATTTTTGGAAGCCAAAGCTGGATTTATTAACTAACAAAATATCCAGTCATTGAAGTCCTTTAATTCCAGGGAATACTGAGCACGGTTAGCTATAACGGGCTTCCGAGTTGGATGAAGTATAACCATTTAATTCCAGCAACAGTTCACAAACAAATAACACAATTTGCCTAGAATTTTCTAATCAAAAAGCCACAGATACTTTTGGTAATGGGGAAGTATCAGCATCCTTGATAAGGAGCAGTGAAAGTAATATAACCCTCAAGGACAAAACCTCAAAACTGAGAAAGCACTTTTCATATCATCACACTCCTAGGAATACTATATCTATCTATCTATCTATCTTTCTGTATGATAGATCTTCAAACTTACCTATATCTTCAAGTTGCAGATGAAACCTATTAGCAACGGGGGCTTTTGTGTAGGAGGTAACTGGGCTATAGTTATGCTCATAAGCCCACTCGATCAAACTCTCATATGATGAGGGAATATCAGGTTTTACTGATTTACTCATAGTCATGGATCGTTCTGTTTCTTTTCCAAAACCAATACTGTTTGATGTCTGCAAACAAAGGAGGAAAAAAAATAGGATATTTAAAATGGAACAGTGACACTGACTGCACATGATCTGCTGACAAATTTTACTCTGTTATTAACAGCAAACTGAGATCACCTGGGAAATGAAATAAACTCTGCCACCTCAGACAGAACTGCTGCACACATGCAAAAAAGCGTGTCCCCCTCTTCCCCCTCCTTCCAGCCTCTGACAGGCTCAGGCTGTACTAGAGTAAAATAAACCAAGGCACTCGGAAACCGTCAGTTCCTAAATGAGACACAGACATATTTATGGCCATTTCTGTAATGTTACATTTTTTTTCAAAACTGTGCATTGAAGTGAATTCCGAGTTCTAAGACAACTATTTTTCAAATGTTCCCCCTCATTTCTTTCGTCAGTTTAGGGTACAGCTTTAGTTACATCCGGGAAAACCTTTGCTCAAACTAGCGTTACTGAAAAGGGCAAACCGCAGCAGTAGGACCCAAATCACGAAGCAGAGCCGATTCCAGTTAACACTTTAAAATCAGCTGGAACTGAGGGTACTCTGCGCACCACTCAATGGGCCTGAGACTATAAATGTCATATCTGTCCTGCAAAATGTTGAATACGTTAAACACTACTGCACTAAATGCCGAATATAATGATAAGTAAGAGTGCTCAACTTTTGGTAAAACTAAACTGCTTAAAAGACAATATATACTTTCCAGACATAAATAAAAATTGTACTTATAAATAAATAAAAATTGTAACCCACTTAGAGTGGGTTACACTCTAAGTGTTACACAAGCACATCGATAGAGCAAACTCAGAAAAACACACTTGCGTACACTTAGGCGTTACTGCTCATCAAAAAGCAGCCATGAAATACATACAGTCAGTAAGCTTTCATTTTACTGTGAAAGTTTCGTAAAATTTCAATTTTTGTTGTCAAAAACTGCAAGTCAAAGGGATACCACAAGCATCTCTAGCTGTTAGAGGGGCAGTCACAAAATATTCACTGGTATTACGTTAAATTGCTTTTAAGTGTTTAAGCATCCTAAATTTAAACTTGTACACACATAAAGCTAAATATGTTGATTTATATATCACATTCTCAACAGTCCTATTATCACTAAAACAATTGCTTTAACAACCACAGAACAAGCTGAACACGCTCGATTCAGGAAAGAGCACTGCGACCCACTTTTCAATGATTCCTGCAACGCGACTGAATTGTACTTTCTACATGTGGATTATACCACTTCAGGCTGTACAACAAACACTTTCATTTCCATGCCTGATTATCTTCTCCATCATATAGGCTGCGTTTTTTTTTTTTAATCTCTAGGTTGGTTTCCTGCAACGTGATCAAATCTTAATCCTCTCCCACTACAGAACTTAAAAAGATTTAGAGCGCTGATCTCTTTTTCCCAGCTCATTTTTGGACGTTGGTCATATGGGCCTTCTACGCAAGGTCAAAAAGTAAGGTTACATTTTGTACTTGACTTCAGAAATACCGCTTTTGAACAAAGAAATTAAAGCTTGAAGGGGGGGGGGGCGCTGATGAAATGGAATAATTTACCTTTTCCTCCCTCATTTCTTCTTAACGAAGAATTCCTACGCTCTATCCTACATTCTTTAAACACCCAAAGCTTCAGAATTGAAGTTAACGGGAATTTTAACTGCAGGTTGCCCAGTTTGAGGATACTGTTACCAGTACTGTTAGCAATGACCAGCAAAGGTCATTGAAGATAAGAAACAAAAAGGAAGCAATAGGTATTCCAATTACAGCGCCTTATTACCGTTTTGTGTCAAATAATTTGTTATCTTTCAGCAGATACAAATTTGAACGTGGTTTATCACACGTTTTCACATCCCCACACAGATTTGACTGGTTGGAAATACTACGCTACCCCAATTTTGCTGGATTTCCCTCTCTGCTTTCCCTTTCTTTTTTTGGGAAGATGAGACAGCTGAATAAATATTAACTCTGATTTTTACTGTCCTAGCTGGCACCTGACCATTTTCAGGGCTTGTTTATACCTCTCCGCTCCAAGTGACCCTGTAAATGTTCAGTCCTGCACTGCCTCAGCCAAACAAAGCTGACCACCGGGGCCGGCAGGAGTAGGCAAACCTTCCTTCACCTGCCTGCCCTGTCAACACCTTCATATGCAACGTATGAAAACAGACAACTAAGAGAGCCACCTACTAAACTATTCAGAATGAAGAGCAACCATTTCAGAAATCAGCAGGCACAGTTTTTTCCCATTTAAAGGATGGTCCCTCTAGGTCCTCAAGCTTTTAAAACTTTCACAGATTTGTTCTTCTGTGCATTCCACCTCCCCTGCTCTTGGACCCTCAAAACACTTGTCTTTGAAGAAAATGGAAACTAATAATAAAATTTATCAATCCTTTCTGCAGTTTCACTTCTTTGCCCACTGAACAACCTACACCTCTGCAAAAAGGCACTAATTCTGAAAGAAGCAATGTGAATGGCAGGCAGTCCAAAACCACAGAAACTCGCCTACACTGCGCTAGGTTTGATGTAAGGACGTAAGGCCACAAGCAGGAGCCAAAGACAGCCTAGGAGAAAAGCATTATGCACATATTTCTGAATTTGGATGAGCCTGCACTTCAGTCGTGTAATTATTTTGCCTTAACTACACACATTTTCCCGGGTTTTGGGTCCCTCCTTTTTCAGAGTTTCAAGAACCAGCAAGCTGGGAGATGAGCTAGATCACCCGAGAGGTCTTTTCCATTTCTAGTCCATGAACCTGGGCCTTAACATCTCAGAGTCCTGGGTTTGAGGCAGCTTGGCATTACCCTTTCACTCTCAGGCTGCCGATGCCTTCAAGAAAACTGTGATTTGTATTGAGGGCAAGAAGTTAGGAAAACTGAAGCGCGTGAAACTGATTCAACTAACAAAAAAAGAACGTTGTGAAACATTACCTAATTGCTTAGCAATGTTTTTATGCATTGTCTAAAATTGGGCATGGAAAGGCCTTCAGCTCAATAGATATGAACAGATCCTAAACCCAGAAGGTACACAGGTTTTCATGACATGGGGGTATTTAGTCCCCTCTCCCCCCCGGAAATAAAGTAGATCAAACACACATTCAGAAAGTGAGGCACCGATATGAATGAAGCAGTAAAGGAAATACTCACCACAAATCCTAACCTAAATAAACTAAGTTTTTCACATACTGACATTTCCAAATACAGCATTACTTTCTCTTTTTGTTAGTCTAAATAAAATGTTACCTAATGCCACCCATTACACCAAGAATAAAACTTAACAGATTTTTACTTATACACACTCAATCATTATTAAAAAGAAACCTTTCAAATAAACCTAACAGTCTTGCTTTGTACACTCAACATAAGTGCAGCACTTCAGACAGTTTTAAATCCTCTAGGATTTCTCTACCTGAAAATTCATCGGCCGTAAACAGGTAGCTGCATGGATATGGTTCCTTGGATAGCTACAAGCATGAAGTGAATTAAACGTACTATTCTCTAGCCTGTGAAAGCAGACCCGTATCGTACCGGCTAAGAGGCCTAAATAAGCAGCAGCAAATTTTATGCAATAACCCAGAATGAAGCTATGAACGCAAACGTTTTTCTTTGTCCCTCTTCTTATGAATATGCTAATCCTGGGCAACTAACCTTGACCTTTCTCTTTAAGGTCCATTACTTAGGACCTACGGAATGACCAGAACGTCCTTTCCCATCCATAAGATCAGGATGTCTCAGGGATCAGAAGGGAATTTCATCATCCGCCTCAAATAATTTTTCTAGTCTATTTTCTGAGCAGCACCGCAATTTGTTTCCTTTTAAATCCCTCACCTCAAAACTTCAAACCCTGCCTCCCACTTTGTTCTCTTGGAAGGTTTAGGTCAAGCAGCCTCTGAGTTCTGCCAGAATTGCCCTTGCACACATTAAGAGCAGCAAGCTATTATGCAAAGTGAAATACAGATAGCTGGGAGTTGAAAGTGTATCTTAAGTTTCTGCAAAACTGTTAATCACTAGGCCACTGGGTGGTCCTGAACAAACATTAAGCTCAACTGTACAATGCACTCTAACCCATCACTTAAGACAGAAATGGGCCACACGTTTATAGGCTGTGAGATCAATCTATTTTTTGTTAGAGAAAGGGAAAATATATTGTCTCAGTAGAAATGGTGTTGAGCCACAGAGCCTGTGCCAAAAAATCATTCCGAATCAGAACTTCCAATTATACCTAAGTACGGTTTCAAAAGTATAACTTTAGGGACCCTGGTTTTAATTTTTTTAAAACCTATTATTTGTGGTCAGAACAGAGGTGAGGTCAATCTGACCAAACACTTGCTGAGGACAGAAATACCGGTGAGGGAGAGGGCTGGAGGCTACTATAATCACAAGCGGAAGGAGCAAACAGTTTCCACTTCTAAGGAGATGTGGGTGGACGCCTTGTATCCAGGATTATCCCTTCTGCAGTCACAGGCATCCTTCCAACTTCTGTGATGAACCTGTAGATCCACTGAGGTAACAGCAAAAAGGGAGATGAACATCCAATTCAGTGTTCAGGGTACATCTTCAACAGAAGTGAAACAGACATATGCCCTAAATCTTTGCACTAAACACCTGGCTTCCGTGATGAGCTGGCCAGTTTAATAGCCCATATGTTATACACAATGGAAAGTCAAAACATATTGTTTCTGTATTTACTCCTTGAAATGAAGTAATAATTCAGAAAAAGCACCTAACAGAGATAACATTCAGAAATCAATATGGTACAGTGTTATATCACGTTCACACAGATTACATACTGTTCGCAGCATGATACCTCACAAAAAAAAAAAGTGCCTTAACTTACAATCACTTCCAGTTTTCCCTGGACATCATGCGATTTGATAACCCAATTGACAGACTTTTTACACTTGAGGATAAGTACGATGTCTCTGACAAGCTTGGCGCCTGGTTGAGCTGGTTTAATGTCAACGATTATATCCACCTGGAAAGCACTATATGTGGAAAATAGAGAGAAAGTAAGACCAGAATGCCAGAAATTTTCAGCTATCAACCTTCTTCCAATCCATCGTGTTTCCAGTGTCTGGCCAGCTGATTAAAATGCTGGAGATTATCCCAGACAACACAACATGTGCAAAACAGATTGTTACTCCACATATGCTTAAATGATTTTATATAACAATAGAAAAAATACCTTTTAAACAAATAATAGTTATTTGATTTGTCTCTTGTTTACAAAAAGTGTGCTACTCCTTTCAGCTATTATTTGGAACAGGTTAGTTCAATGACTAGCAGTTTACTTTATACAGTAAATACTATTTTCTTTTTTCACTGTAACAGTGTCTAAATGTAGTTGTTTCAGTTTCCTCAGAATAACGGTATTAAAGCTCAAAACCATACCTTAAAAAAAAAAAAAGGCAAAAAGACAAAGTAAACAAGTTTAACAATACCAACAAATGCACAGGGAATATCTCTATACGGTTAAACTGTGGAAATTATTTTGCTTAGACTCTCGCATGCGTTGAGGAATTACTATAGTGTCATATTTAGTTTCCAATACTCCTGCATATATACTTATTTTAAAACGAAAAGAAAACAGATGTCCAACCTACTGATTGCTGGAAAATTGATGAACATCCAGATTTTCAAGACCTCAGTAAAATAAGTAGAGCAAATGGGTTTGTACCCATCAACCACATCTCCTCGTGCAAAATATTAATTTAATAGAGAAATCTTTACTTCCAGATGATCTTATTGGACTGTATGTCACAAGAACGTGCTCATTCCCAAATAACATGTTTCATCTAACATCCCACACTGACACTTTGTATCTTGGGACCTTTTTTTCTCCTGCAGTTACACGCACGTTCTACTCAGCTTCTGTATGTTTCTACGTGGATATAAACTTTGTAAAGATAGCTGTAGATAATACGCGTAAGCAGGAACGAAGCAAACAGAAACCGAAACATTCGTCAATTTTTAAGCAATCCTTCTCCTCTATTCAGGCCTGGTGAGGTCACACCTGGAGTACTGTGTCCAGTTCTGGGCTCCCCAGTACAAGAGAGACACGGCGCTCCTGCGGCGAGTCCAGTGAAGGGCCGCTAAGAGGATTAAGGGACCAGATCATCTCTCCTATGAGGAAAGGCTGAGGGAGCTGGGCATGATCAGTCTGGGGAAGAGATGACTGAGGGGCGATCTGATCAATGTGCGTAAGCACGTGTAAACGTGTATTTAGGAGGGTGTAAAGAGGATGGGGCCTGACTCTCTTCAGTGGTGCCCAGGGACAGGACAAGAGACAACAGGCACAAACTGAAATACAGGAAGGTCCATCTGAACATGAGGAAAAACTTCTTTACTGTGAGGGGGACAGAGCGCTGGAACACGTTGCCCAGAGAGGTTGTGGAGTCTCCTTCCCTGGAGATACTCAAAAGCCGTCTGGACGCAATCCTAGGAGACATGCTCTAGGCGACCCTGCCTGAGCAGGGGGGTTGGACTAGGTGATCTCCAGAGGTCCCTTCCAACCTCGACCATTCTGTCATTCTGTGAAGTTTTACTAATAACATTTTTTAAATGTTTGCAATGTGATCCTCTGAAAAGTAAATTCTTACCATGTATTCTCAGCAAGCCAAAGCCCAGTGGGCAAGGAAACAGAGGGCTGTTACTGCATAGTGCTGCAAGGGGGTTACAGTGATGTTAGTGCAGAAAAGCAGCTCCGTTCAGGATGGGGTAGTTACCCATGCCAAACAGAGGCAAATCATTTGGACTTACCTACTCACCTCCCACCACTTCTCCACATTTCTTTACGCTCCCAGGGTTGCTTTGCAAGGGAATACTTTAAGCATCCTGCAGTGAGACAGGAAGAGTTTGTGCAAAAACTCTTCCTCTCACCTCCATCTCCCTGGATAATTTCCCGATTAGGGATGGGACTTACCCAAACGCAATTGCACAAGGGGCACAACTGGACAATACTGGGTGTCCAATGACCGCCTGCAGAGAGCAGGATTTTAACTCTCCCTTAACTCTGAGGAAATTGTTCTTTGCGTCTCGCAAAGGGACAAACATCTCGGCCTCACAGCAAATATCTGCTCTAGCAACAATACTGTGCTCCTATGAAAAGCTTTTACAGGTGTGAGTTTCTGAAGCAAACCCCATTCATCTGCTACCACTAAGATCTAGAAGAGAGAGGCCAAGGATGAATGCTTTAAATGTCTTACCTCCCAAGTTCACAGTGACTTTGACAATTTATCTAACCCTAATAACCTGGTTCAGGGAGTTAAATACTTTTCCCTAACCACTGGTTCATAAACTTTTTCTGGTCAGTGGACCACTGCCAACCCTCAGCATTTCTTGCAGATTATCAAACTATCTTTAAACTCAACTGAAAACTTTACAGAAAATACTGTTATATGTGATTCTGTAGAGCAACTGTGGAACATTTACCACAGACTTTGAACATCTGCCGTGGATCACCTGTGACCTATGGACCACACAGTTTGGGAACCAGTGCCCTAGGCCTTGCTGGCAGTTACAGCTGCCTGTGACAAGGGTCAAGACTACCTGCAATATCTCTCTCACCTCCTCAAACAGCGGACTCATTTTAAAGCCTCTATGTCAGATTTTGTCATTTTTCATACATGTTTATTCATAATATTCTTGGAGAAATCCAATTGACCTAAGCAGGATTTCTGCCCACAGAATGGGGATAGCGTATAGTCCGTAAGAATTGTACTTCACAGTCTTGCCCAGAAAAACTAATCCTGGAAGCAGAATCTAATATCTTTACACACTGAAGAACTAATTTCTATTTAAAGTAAAGTACTAAGGTCCCAGCTCTCCTTCTAACAAAGAAATGGCTACCATAATTTCCCTTTCAAGAGACACAGGAAGTGTTCAGCTGTAAATTCAGACTTAACACGCTTAAACAGATTTAACATACTTAGTGGATACTTTACCTGTATGGATTAGAATTTGGAGTGATTAATTCAATGATATGAACTTCTCTTTCTTGGATTAAGTTAGACATAAGGCACCCTTCGGCTGTTTTTGGTTGCAGGTATCCCGCAAGGTAATTTAAAGACAGAAAGTTCTTTTCTATGTTGCATGATGGAGGAAAAACCTGATCTGCAAAAAGATTAAAAAAAAAAAAAACAGTATATGCACCTTTACACATTCACATCTATTTACATACGTTTACGTACAGCATCTACTTCAACGCAGCACTACTTTTTATGATGCAGATCTTTAGACTAAAAGGTTTATTATCCATCATGAGTAGTTACGATAAATCAACATAACGTTGAAAGCCAGATACTTGTTGAAATAGCAAAATACACACTTCTAATTTGAACAGTTTCTATTTATGAATCTGAATATTTATTGAAAGAAAACCCACTCCAAGAGAAATCTCAAAATAGTACTGAAGCAAAATACACAAGCATTTTTCAAAATGAATAATTTATTCTTTACACCTTTAAAAAAAGATTTTTTTCTTCTGAAACTAACTCAGAAAACATTTAAATGAGGTATGATCAACTCCTTCCTTTAGAAAATATTTTATTCTTATTATAAGCTTACCACATTTATATAACATAGAAAGTATTTTCCATTTCCCTACTCAGTATATTTCCCTATATTTTGTGTAGTTAGTCAGGGCTGTGTAGAAATATTGTAGTTCTTTGTGTATGGAAAACTGAATAGATCATGAAAAGAACAAAACAAGTTCTTGATATTAAGCAAGTCTGATCATAATACCCGTAACTGGGATGAGGAAATTCTAGAGTAGATTTTGGTTTTAATTGCCTAGCTGATCATGAACATAGTGTACAATGCAGAGCAGAAAAAAGTCACTTGGTATGAAGTTCTCATGCAGAGCCTGTAAAGTTGCACACCAACAATCAGGATTTCCACTGAAAAATAGGAATACTTTGCATTTCGGAGATGACTTTACAAACGAATTACCAAGATACACAGAAGGACTAAGTACCTTGCTCAAAAGCCACGTAAAGCCTTGTAGGACTTGAACTAGAACTCCGCAGCGTCCTCTGAGCTTTGCTTTGACCACAAAACTTTTCCTATTAAAAAAGAGTACCACGACAGAAAGCATGCATCAAATGTGATGCATCCAAAACTGTGGACAGACTCTTAAAAGCCGAGTTGAGGTCACTTTTAGCATTTGCTCCCTAAGTTAGAGCTGAAACGTCACTTGTGTGCGGTACACAACTTTATGGAGAGACCAGAGACTCCTGTGACCCCAGCCACAGTGGAAACAATTAGGAAAGTTTCTTCTCCTGATCTTACACAAAGCAGTCTTTGACTATTAACCTCGCTTTCTTCTCTAGAGAATCTGTGAAAGCTATATGAAGCTGTAATATTCATACCGCCCAGAAAAGCCCTGCCCTACCATCTGGTACGCACCCTGCCAGATTAGCCTTGAAGGCAGCTGCAGTTCCACCAACTCCTCCCACAACAGCAGAGAATGGAAAATGATCCCAAATGATCTATCCTGAACTTAAATTTATAAATGTATTTATACCTAGATACACAAAAAGATAATAGGTACTAAATTTTCAGCTGCAGTGCTGCAACACATATCACGCTATAAAATAATAGCCTCTGAGTAGTCAGTGGGTAATTGCCGCATGTGCTATCTATCATTAACCACTGCCACGAGCTCGATTCCTGTTCCTGGCGTCTTCGTTAGATGTCTCTGCAACTCCGAAAGCACGACGTCTCCCGCTGCCACCAGCGCCGCCACTCCCTGGACGGGACCTCCACTCCACAGCACGCTTGTGCTCTGCAGCTCGTTGCAACTCTCAGTCACTTAACTACTTGGCACACATATTTACCCACCCCCTAAAAAGGTATTTACCCTTGTCAGTGCCAGTTACCAAGACCCTGGCTGTAACAGAAAAGGAAAGTAGATCTAATTTCCTCTTTCTTTGGTCACTGCGCTTCCCCCCCTCCCCTCCCCTTTTAGTTTAGTTTTCAGGGCTGTTTACTTACGTTGAAAAGAGACTGTACGTGTGTGTAACCAGTTAGAAAGCTTATTAAAGCAGGCAGCAAACTGTCAATTTATGGACCCTACGCTTCTTTCTCACCTCAGAGCACTACGAGTATGGAATCTGACATGAGGCACGCTTGGAATAACGTCAGATTAGGGGCTTTGCTGGGGCTACGCAGATGTCTTGGCACATCGTCCCCCGGCCTGCACCCAACGGAGGGCTGCAAAGCAGCTGGCAGCGGCTTGTCCCTTCAGGGTTCGCCAATCTGCTGGCATTAACACAGCGTATTGCACACTGGGATCTGTAGTTTCTGTGGGCAGCACCTCCATTTTAAAGATGAGGGCAGACACCGTCTGCTCCGTTCTGTACAAATTAGGTGTCACCCACAGGCTCCTGGCTAAATTGGATGGAGTTTGAGTATCCCAGCTTAAAATCATTAGATTTTTGTGAAAAACGAGAGCTATTACTCACGTGTCACTCTCCAAGACAGACACCCTTGGCAAGAGCAGATTAATTCAGCAATAAAAACCCTATCCAAGTGGTGCTTGCCTTTCAAAGCCTGAGTTGGGGATGAGCGAGGTGTGAGGGATTTTCCTCTGCCACTCAGGTGGCTGTTTTTTTCCACACATATTTTCAAGGTTACCAGCCTTTAGCATTAAGGACATCACAATCTCAACTTTAAAACGGCACCCCAGGAAACTTAGTGGTATGGTAGAAGCGCTAGCAGGAAAGCTGCTGCAGGCTGTCTGTGTCAGGAAGGGTGAAGCTCTCAAAGGTACTCGCCCTGGGCACGTGACAGGAAGCAGTGGCCGGCCAAATGGCTAAAAGCTACAACCTGGCACAAAGCAATAACCTATTAAACCTGCAACTATTAAATCAAATAATTGCCGTGCAGCACGGAGTACCTATGCCAGTGCGTACAGGATACAAATTCAGATTCAGGACTAAAGCTTAAACTTCTCCCAGGACAAGAACACAATGTTACAGTTTGTAAACAGATTATATGTGGAATATAATTAATACCTTGGTATGCTATTTTTCAGTCTAGTCATTGTTACGGTCCAAGAGGTTTTTTTCTTATTTAGTTCAGAAATGTGTTGAAATTAACCTCCCTCCAGGCTAGCACATCTGCCCTGGATTTAGTCTGGTGGTACCTGGGTGTGTCAGGCAACGTTTAGGTAACTGATAAAGTCTTTCTGATTTGTTCAATAGTATCTTATTGAAGCATGAGGAATTAAAATGACTTCTGCTGGTTGAAATGTGTACTAGGATCACATTTACTGGAAGCAGCCCAGGCTTGTAAAAATCTGATAAGAATTATTATAGCAACTGCTTTGCCATCTCATTTACTGCACAAACCAAAGCAAGGCAGAGAAGCCTCGTTCTGGCCTGTTTGAGCTTTCATGATGCTCAGCACCGCTGGGGTGGCCGATGAGCTGTTCTTCCGTACTCCTGAAGGATGCAACCTGCATCCTTCGGATGGACCTAGCCCTGACCCCATTTCTTACCCTCCCATCCTTCGCCCACCCGCCTTTCAGTTGCAGCTTCAAAAGTGCTCTCAGAGGGCCACAGCATCAGACGCAGTTTTAATCTATAAAAGACCATCCTTCTTCAGGTCTTTTTTGTTTGCTGTATTCAGTTATAGCCTAAGCCTCTAAAATGTTAAATCTTCCAATTTTATATTTTTATAGCTTGAGTGAAGCTGAAATGTAGATAACTCTGTGAACAGCGCCATTGAAATCTGTATCAGTCACATAGCAAGGCCCTACTCCATGTGGCCACCAACTGCACAATCGGGGAACCTATAGATGGTGGGTAATATTACCCGTGATTCAGAGAGTAGAAGCTGAGGGTACCCGACTAAGATACTTGAGTAGTGTGATATCTGTATCACAAGCCTGAAATGTCCCGCAGCACAGGCTGCGTTTTGCGGAATTTAGTGGTTCTACAGCGATGTAGGTCAAGTCCGTGTCCCACGTGTTTTTCGTAGAACTCCTTCTTGTACAACTGCTGCAGTTCAAGAACTGACCCTCTCCCCACCCCTCAACACATGCATAACCCCCACACATACACATATATTCATTCTTCTGCCAGGGATTTAAATCAAAATCAAATATGGTTACAGTTCAGCTAGCTTGTAGGAGCTTTTTCAGAAACTGTCTATTTTGGTTGCTTGCCAAGTTCCTTTTTGTGTGCTTACTCTTAACTAAATTGTGTTTACCACACTAAGGATGATGCAAAGCTCTCAGATATTTAACTGCTTAGTTTGACTGGAGATGTGCAAATCAACAAACAAAACTTGATCTGTTTTTTGACATATCTAATTAAATGTTCATCTCCACAACACAGCGACCACTACTCCCATGCATATGTTCCAAGAGCACTTTAATAAGCTAATAAATATATTTCTGAATGATCTTCTGGCATTAAAACCCAAGATTGGTGCCAAGTAGAACAAAAACCACGGAGGGGAATCCTGCACAAATTTAGCAGGTTCTGGATAAAACTAACCCAGGCATGTTCTGATTCTCTGGGGCAAGCCTCACGCTTCAGGAAATCAAACGATCACATACGGGGGGGGGGGATAAACCAACTTGTTCAGCTATTCAGGGGTTTCTCTAGAAATAGTGCTGAAGCACTACTAAGCAAGACAGCCCGCTGGTGCTAGTAAACGCTGAGCCCATCAGCACTTGCTGGATCTTGTTAGAATGTCCCACTGATTTCTGCTGTTCGCATGACTGAACTTCTCAGGACAGAACAGTGAGTTTCAAAACAGCTGGACCCCTAGCCGCAATACAGCACACCCTGGTTCACTCTCATCAGCCTTCATTCGCCCTGCTTTTGATAACTGTGTACACTTGGACAATGTCTTCAGAGCACCAAAAGAACAGCGAACTGCAGGCTGTTATGTAAAGAACATCGGAATTTTTTAAGCGTTCCGTATTTATGAAAAGGAAAAAATTCACCCCCAATCATCCCGTATGATAGAGGGAAGCTGCCCTCCCTGCACTGCAGTGATGATTCTTTGCGAAACTACAGACATATCAAATTCAACATCTTTCAGCTCCTTTTGCTCCCTACATATTTTCTGGAAAACAGTGTGAATAGAGAAAAGTAGCGTACTCCTCCAGAACTGACTGCTTTGCTCCAAGAACGTAATGTGTTCATCCAGAAAAGCTGTGGCTCTTGTGTAATCTGCAGTTTAAGAACAGCTCAAGTGCAACTCACACGCCGAAGCTCTTGACCAGCTGTGGGAAAGCCAGAGCCAGAAAGGGGTTCAGCGGCTCATATTGTTCAGTTACTCCACTATCACTCAGCTGCACAGCCAGCCCAGCCCAGCTCTGCCCTAATATGGGCCTGTGAGATCCCTGAGGTGTTGCTGTCATCTCCCACCTGCAATCAGAGCTTCTCCTCCTATCAGCTCCCCATGGGGCATAGCATATATCCTGTGGCTTGTGGCCACCTGAGAATTTGGCGTGCAACTCACAGGCACGGGAAATCTGCTCCTTGCAATGAAAACTTATCAGACTGTGGCTACTTATCTTGGTGAGGAAGACTATTCTTTGCTCAAAGTAGCCTGGATCCCTCTACAAGGAAACACTGGAAAAAATCCACAACTCAGGTCTGTTTTTTTTTGTTTGTTTTTTTTTTTTTTGGAAAAAACCCTACCTTAAGTTCTCAACCTCAGTCCTGGACATGAAGCCACCCAGTCAATCACCATGACTGATTTATTCCTTTTAGAAGATAAAACTTTTGAATTATTTGACTCCTGTAAGATTCTGGCCAATGACTCTCCATCCACATTTATGAGCATAAAATTAGGGCCCCAGAATCCATTAAAAAGCTGCCTAAATCCAAGCTCTAGTCGTTAAGCTTGCTCTTCTTTCCCTGCCTCTCCCTTTCATATCACATCATTTGGAACACGAGAGTTATGCTTAATGATTAAAAACAAATGTGAAATACTACTCTAACATGACTTATTCTCATCATCTAGAATCCTCAGTCAATTCTGTTAAGTTTTTACCTTCTCCTACTTTGATATAGATGTTTCTTGATATTTTGAGTTCAGTGAAAGATGTGACTGCTCCATACTCCTTCTGGGCCCACTGTAGCAGATGTTCATTTTTCTCAGGAAAAAGTTTTTCTTCTGTTTCTGCTGACAAAGAGAAGTTTCCCTTCTCAAACTGAACAACGGAACCTAAGGATACCTGATGGGAATAAAAACATATTTTTAGTGAGATACATTTATCTGCATAGACACGTAGAACATTTAAGCAGCGTAATCTGGCATACCAAAAATGCATTCACGGAAGATAATTACAGCCTATTTGCCATCAACGCCTAAATTTTGTATATTCGAACACCTGCACAACGACTCCTTTTGAAAGATTTTTTTTTTTTTTAAAGTAATTGCTTTAAATAGCATAAGGTTTCCAATCAATCAGTCCAGCTAGGGTACACATGGCAGCTGAATAAAGGAGGGCTCTAAGCCTCTAAGATAGGAGGAAGTAAGAATAACGTGGACCAAATAGCTGAGAGGAGAGAAGGAAGTGAAGCTCAGTAAACCTGGGAACTACTGAACTAACTCCCAAGTCAGAAAGAACATGAGTTTTCAAGCTCTGAGACAAATAAAGACTTACAGAGAGATACAAAGTAAAGAAAGGGAAAGGCTAAGAGGCAACGTTTACTTGCTTTATTTACAGGAAGCAAGGAAATGCTGTGGTCTAACACAAAGCAGATGAATCGTACAACTTTAGAAAAATTTTTATAAATAGGGAATATTAACTGAGGTCTTCATGGGAAAAACTAACACACTGTTTAAAATAGTCAAAATAATGGCAAGTACAGGTGTAACAGGTTTTTAATGGGAAAACCTAAGATTTTCAAATCCATTGGAGCGGCAATAGCATCATTCAAGAGAAGAAGAGGGCACAGGCTCAGGTTCCCTTTCAGACTGGGACTTTCTTCAACTTGCATTGGTCTTGAGAAATAAACTAGTCATTTTGGATTTACTGCAAAGGAAGATCATCCCAACATCAACCTTTTGCTATCCTGTTCCTGCAGAGGGATGTGGCAAGCACTATCTGAACCCATGCCAGCTCTCAAGAGGTCCCTAGCAAGCAGTCAAAGTAGGAATCCTGTATTTCCTGGAGTAGTGTGCGACTAGAGCTTGCACAGATAAGACACACAGCCCCCTGCTCCCAGACTATTACAGCAGACAAGACCTCAGGGCAGTACCTTACTCTTACACTGTCCCTAGAGCAGCCTAGGAAGACGTCTGAGTTGCTGTGTTGCTCTCCTCTTCCTTCCCACTGCATAACAGCTGTAGAAGACCTCACTTTCCCTCAAGGGTGGATAAAGAAATGTTTTCTCAGTATCCCAGAGCAGGTAAAGAGAGTTAAGTGTCTTCATTTCAGCCCCCAAGAGCCTGTATAAATATGAGGGGAGGTAAACCAGCTCCCACTTCCAGTAATGAGTGGGGTGGGGGGGGGGGGGGAAGAGGGCGCGTTAGGTTTTGCTCCCGAGCACAAGTCAGACAAACCTGTAGCAAGGGGACATACAAGTACTCATAAGTATTGCTGCAATGCCAAGGCTTTCTACTGTAACCCAGACTGCTCCATTCTTTGATAGAGCAAAAGTATATTTTTTCTTGAATTGAAAATCCAAAACACCTAACAATGACGTTGATCAGACCTGTGAAAAATACACCATAACATTTTCTAACTGGTCCTGAATATTATTTACAATATAGCAGAACAATGGTCCTAAGCATCTGTCTAACATTTTAAACAACAAAATATATCAATACGAATTAAGTAACAGGGATTATCTGAAATTGGGCTCCAACTACACAAAACTAACTAAAAGCAACCAGCCATTACCCTCCCTGGGACTACCGTTAATAGCACTATTTCACAATGCTCTGCATCAGTTTGTTTAGCATATAGAAGTATTTGTCAAAGTAGACATATAAATTATGCCCTTGGCACATAGAAAACATTTCAAAGCTCTCCTCATGCCTCCAGCTATTACATTGGCATTTATTATGCACATATAACACACTCGCCTCTAAGAGGAGGCCCATGTAATTCAGAGTTCAGTTTGACCAGACCTGTCACAGAAAACAGTTTAGGAGTTCTTCATGCTTTTGCCAGAATAGTTTTCAAAGTTTAAAGTAACATGTTTCAATTGTGAATGATCTTCCTTTCTTATTGTTTTTCATCTGACTACCATAAAACATTTCCTTTAATTGAAAAAAAGACTTTATTCAGTGTAACACAGAATACACCATATTAACACACTTCTCAAATAAGAAAGTAAATTCTGCCTTCTTAGGGAGATAAACCGTGAGATATTATTGTACTGCATTCAATACACATCTAGCAGCTGCAGCTTGGACTTTCAGAGATGATCACCGTTGGTATGTGCCACCACAGAAAATCCACTCCCCTTAGAGCGGATACTAGGAAAAGATAGCCACAGCTATCTTGAAAAAGTAGTAAGTAGTAGTCACTTTGTAATTCCACTGTTTAAATATAGTTATAGCATGGACTGATTATATGGGGCACTCCTACAACACAGGAAATTAGCTCCTAACACGTTCAGTTTTACCATGTGCACAACCCCAAGGGATGAAGCGTATGCGGACACAGCACAAGACAGGTCACGCAGAGACCTACCACTTAGCTGTCTTTATATCTGAGCTAGCACATTCAGAAGCTACATGGGACAGCTTTGTACAGCCCTGGCATAACTAGGAAAATCTCTTGTGCATGAAGGTCACAGGACTTAAGGATTTAATCAATTATTTTGTAGGGATATTCAATACATGCTGTCTTTCCACTCTCAGTGGAAACTCCTCAACAACTTCAAAAGTGCCACACAGTGCATCTGAGAACTACAGCAATTGCTTTTTGTGTACAATATTTCACAACGTTCCTAGTATTTTTTTTATGGTCACTAACAGAGAATAAGTAAGTATTAGTGTAACCCTTTAGGACAACTGAGGAAAACGTGAGAGAAAAAAAATAATCCTTCTGAATACTGATGTAAGAAATTTATTAGCGTACAATAATGCATTTTCATCGTATTTTCCACTGAATATTATTATTGGCATGTGAGATGGTTAAAATTTCTGTTAACACAACAGTTTTCTTCCTCAGAATACACTTGATTTCCATTTATCATTAATTAAAACTTTAAGACATTCTTCTGTACTATCCTGTAGCATGATACCTGGCTTCCTGCAAGCAAGGTCCTACCAGTGAACCCCAAAGACACTGAGCTGTCACAGGGAGAAATGCATAGACAGAAAGCAGAGCAACCAAAAGTCTGGCACAAACACTCACACTAAATTGTCATACAGTAAGCATCTTTAAAGATGAAACTTATCACAATTTTTTTTTAATCATACACTAAAATCTGTATTTGAAACGCTGGTTCCACTACACATTTTTTAAAAGGAGCGCAGAGCCTGCTGTGCTTGCCAATGTTGGGATTTTTACTACAAAGTCCTAAGGCAAGGTTAACTGAGCCAAGCACGTTATTTTTTCTGGAAAGAATTCAACCGACTCTTCCAAAAAAGGCAACCATCACTTTGTTTCAACACCTGCCTTGAACGTTAACTACTTACTCTTCAGAACAAACCAAAAGTAGCTCTTTCTTTAAAGTACTTAGGGCACGCCAGAGTATTTGAACCAAAGAATGTTTTATACGTTCAGGAATATATCTACAGATTTTCTCTGAGCATTACACAGCCTACTGGCTGATTCGGAAACTGCTGCCACATCCACCCTTATCTCCTCACTTCATCTCCTTCAGTGGTTACTTTTCAGAGGCTGCAGAGTGGAAAAAGTGCCCCAGCTCTATTTCTTCCTGTTGTTGTGAGGACATTCAAAATGACTGCACCAGAAGCAGCCTCTGCCGCCGAGTTCATCCGCACGCCTTGCCGCACTTCTGAGGTTAAATAAGGAAACCTCCAAGTCTGACGAGGACTCAGAAAAATCAGTTTGCAGGCCATGGACGCTCACTGTAGCGAGAAATGCAGATTAAAAGGCTCTTTCTGTGCTTAGAGAAAGCAAGAATCAAATATAGTATTCTGAAAACTTGTTATTGAAAAGCTGAGCAGTCCAAAGAACAAAACGTGCACCAGAAGATACTCTTACTCTGCACACGATCACCCAGGTAAAGCCCGCAGACCCCTGGGGCAAATGAGGATTGTAATTTTCTTTGCACTGTACATAGACAAGAAAATACATCCCTCATCCTGAAAAAAGGCCTTTATGCCTCTCAAGAAAATTTTCTGTTCTTACAAAAATTGCCATTGTAATGCTGCCACGGTATTTAAGGACATGAGTTACCTGGCAGACGAGACATTGCATCGGTTACCATTCCTCAGAAGGAAAAGCCCTCAGAACCAACCATCAGCGGTCTCACATACATACCCTGGCGAGCATGAACATTGCAAACGCTCAACACAGCCCCTTCTGTTTCTTATTTTAACCTACTTCCTTCTCTCCTTTTAAATATCCTTTTCTTTTTCCTTTTTTGGATCTGACTCAGAGATACTTACTTTCTTTGCCCTATGACATTTTAATTATTTAATGTAGTTATCACTCAGAATACTGAGGTAAGAAGCAAGTTCATTATTTAGCCTAGAGAGAGGGAGATAGGCATCTGCGGGAGACGGCTCAGAATAGCAAAGTGAAGCGCTCGCAGCTACACAGCGTGAATCAACCCCTCTCCTCACAGCACCAGCTCCACCACTACCCATCAAGGCCCCTCCAGCACAAATAATGAACCAAAAAGCCAAGACTGAGGCAAATAAATGAGCAGAAGAGAAACATTCTTCTTATTTTGACCTGAGCTGTATAATATTAGACCTGCAACAGAACTCGTAAGAGTGGAGTAAAGCTCAGGGTAAAATATCGAAACTTGAAGCAACGTTCAGAGAAGCCCACACATGCTGCAGGGATCCAGCTAGTGTTTTTGACAATATACTTTGATGTGCTTTGGTCCCTTAATAGGGAAAAGGTAAAAACACGAATAGAGAAATATTAGGTACTCTGAATCTCAAAGCATCTCCTCAGTTGTTCGTAAATCTGCACACACAAAGAGCAATAAGCACCAAGAGAGCAATTCTGTTTGGTAGGTGGTTAAGAAACATGTTGCTTTTGAAATTAGATGCAACATAAATGTGTCACACGTC